GTTAATGTTATTGATCTTGTTTATTTTTATATCATTAAAATTTGCTTCTAATTTAAAATTGTTTGTTTCAATATTATTAAAATAGAAAAATATGAAAATTATTTTTATAAACAAATCCATTAAATTGTATTTATAAATAATAGTCACTTGTGGCACATCGTATTAGTTTCACGTGAGATGAAACGTTGAAATGATTCCCCGAAAACAAACTGCACACGATATATTGAAGGGTCTTTAAATTGCCTTCACGAAGATTTGTTACCACTCGCAACTAGACTCCTGGAATAAGCTATTGACACTTCCGGTTTGATCTCGAAACCCCTTTTGATGTTCATGCAGATCAAATTTTTATGCGTATTTTAAATCTGTTTCAAAAAAAAAAAAAAAATCCAAAATCCTTTGATTATATTTTTACGAAAATTGAAGAAGAAGAAAAATACATTTTCCACAGAAAAATTACGAAAATTTCATTTTTGGAATTAAGTAATAATATTGTTAAATTAAATAATAATTATTATTTCTTATTCTTAGATTAATAATAAATTATTAATATTAAAGAAAACATTGTTCTCCAAAAATATAACTACTTCTTGGAATCATCATAAATTTTTTTGTTTTATGACATCAAGAAAAAATCGTTAAGAGATTCCACTCAAAAAAATACAAAGTTGTATTTTTTTTTGAAAAATGTAAAAATTAAACAAATATGTATATTATAGCTTCTTCCTCTATGCATCAGTTGGTGGCGGTATAAAATAATTTTTACGATTTTCGGAAACGTTGAGATTTTGTGAATATATTTTTTTTCCTCTCTCTCTCTCTCTTTCTCTCGAAAAAAGCATAGGGAAGGAGTTCTGATGTCATTGTGCATCGTAAATTGAATGCCGACATCCTGTGAAAAAAGGACGCATGTGGATCTTATTTGCTGAAAGGCATTGGTATCCTGGCGCCTTGCTGATGATTTATATGTCAAGTAGGCGTGACATTTTTAAATAACCAAGGTATAATATAGAGGAGAGGCTACTGTATTACATAACTCGTAAAAAGAAATTAACGAGACGAAAACGAGAGGAAAAAAATCCAAAAAAGGAAGGGGGATGAATTATTTCCTAAATAGGGTGAAACTTGAACTTCCGTGTTATTTCTCGTACGAATAAATTGCTGTTTGATTCTTTTGTGGGTTGTTTGTGCAGATTAAAGTGGTTTTTTTTAAGGTACTGAGGTTTTCCTCAAAAAATTCCTCGAGATAAACAGATGCGACATGTTCTTCTTTTTCAAAATCTCCGGCTATATAGTGGGATTAGGAATAAGATTTATTGCATCGGTTGAGAATGTGGTTTTAATTTTCTTTCATTTAAAAATTTTTTCCTTTTTCTATTTTGGTTTTTCACTATTTTCCTTCTCTTGTCTTTCTAGTTTATTTCTCTGTTCAAATTACAACTGAAATCAAAATAATAAATATTAAATTAAATAGTAAATTGTACGATATAATTTGGAGAATTTAAGAAAAATTTGAAATGATTTCGAAAATTCAATTATTTTCAAAAGTAATAAAAATTCTTCACAAAAATTCAATTATGTTCAAAAATTTTTTTAAATTCTTGTCAAAATTTCAATTATCGTTATAAATAAAAAAATTCTTCTCCAAAATTCAAATGTTTTCAAAAATTTTAATAAAATTCTTGTAAAAATTTCAATTATTTTCAAAAATTTTCCTCAATTCAATGATTTTTAATATTTACTATTTTAAATAAAAAATTTTTAAAAGAATTCAATTATTTAAATAAAAAATTGAATAAAATTCTACGCAAACCTTTCATTATTTCCATAAAATAATAAAAATTTCACTGGAATTCAATTATTTATAAATTTTTTTATAAATTTCTTCGCAATCATTCAATTATTTTCTTCATAAATAATTAAATTTTTACAGGGATTTATTTATTTATTTATTTATTTATTAACAAAGTTGATTCCCGCAGTCCTTTTGGACCATAAATGGGATTCAATTATTTTCGTAAATAATAAACTTCTTTTTAGGAATTCAATTATTTTCATAAATAATTAAATTCGTTGCAGAATTTCAATTATTTTTAATACAATTTTTATCAAATTCCTCGAAAAATGTAATTATTCTTAAAAATTTTATTAAAAAATTTGTTTCGAAAAACTCAATTATTTAACAAAATTTTTATACAATTCTTCACAATAATTCAATTACTTTCACTAATAATAACATTTTTCATGGAAATTTAATTTTTAATAAAATTTTTGATAAAATTTTAGGCAAGAATTTATAATTACTTTCAAAAATAATAAAATTCATCGAAGAATTTCGATTATTTTTAATACAATTATAAATTAATTAATCAATTATTTATTCAATTATTTAATTATTAATTCAATTATTTAAAATAAAATTTTCATAATATTTAATTATATTTCGAAAAAATTGATTACATTTAAAACAATGTTTATAAAATTCTTATGAAGAATTCAATAACTTTCAAAAATAACAAAACTTTTCACAGAATAAATTCAACTATTTTTAAACATTTTAATAAAATTTTTTGCAGTAATTAAATTATGTTCATAAAAAATAATAAAATTCTTCTTAAGAATTCAATTACCTTTGAGAATTTTAATAAAATTCTTACCAACTATTGAATTATTTTCATAAAAAATAAAATTTATCTCATAATTTTAATTTTTTTTAATGCAATTTTACAGAAATTGCTCGAAAACTGTAATTATTCTTAAAAATTTAATTTCAATTCCTGAAAAAATCATTTATTTAAAAAAAATTTTTTTTTAAATTCTTTGGAAGAATTAAATTATTTACAAAAATATTCGAATTTTTCACAGGAATTAAAATATTTGAATAAAATTGTTCGAAAGAAATCAATTGTATTAAATTCAATTTTAATTAAATTTTGTTGAAATAATTCAATTATTCTTTTAGAATTTAGATTTTAATAAAATTCTTCCCAAGAATTCAATTATTTTCATAAATAATTTAACGAAGGAATTAAATTATGTCGAGAAATAACAAAATTATTCCCGAAAATTCAATTATTTTCATAAATAATAAAATGCCATACAGATATTCAATTATACTTAAAAATTTTAATAGAATTTTATTGTTTGTAAAATTTAATTATTTTTAAAAACTTTTCGCAATTCAATGATTTTCAATATCAACAATTTTCATTAAATTTCCAAACAGAATTCAATTATTTAAAAAATTTATTGTTAAAATCTTCATAAGAATTCAATTTTTTTCATGAATAAAAAAAATTTTTTAGGAATTCAATTATTTAAATTAGAATTTTCATAAAATTAGTCGAAAGAAATCAATTATTATTTAAAAATTTTTATAAAATTCTTCTTTCTTGGTCGACAAGTTTAATTTTTCAATTTATTTATTTAATATTTTCTTATTTATCAACATAATTGAATTCTTTCGAAAAATTATTTGTGTAAATAATTGGATTCTTAGAAAAAATTTTATTAAAATTTAAAAAAATAATTAAATTATTTCAAAAAAAATTGATTATAATTGTTTTTAAAACAATTAATTTCTTTTGAACAATTTTATTAAATTTTTGAAAATAATTATTCAATCCTTCCAAAAAATATTGAAAAAAACATTTTTTTAAATAATTGATTTTTTCGAGAAATTGAAATTAAGTTTTTAAGAATAATTATATTTTTTGAGCAATCCCTGTAAAATTGTATTACAAATAATTGAAATCCTGCTGTGAATTTTATTATTTATGAAAATAATTGAATAGTTGCAAAGAATTTTATTATAATATTCTCAAAAATAATTAAATTACAGAGAAGAATTTTATTATTTTCGAAAATAATTGAATTATTGCGGAAAAGTTTATTAAAATGTTTATGAAGAATTGAATTTCTGTGAAAAATTTAATTATTTTTGAAAGTAATTGAATTCTTCATAAGAATTTTATGAACATTGTTTTAAATAAATAATTGTTTCGAAATATAATAAATATTCTGAAAATTTTATTAGTTTAAATAATTGAATTCTTGTGGAAAACTTTATTTGTGAAAATAACTGAATTTTTCGATTATTAATTTAAAATATTAATAAAAATAATTAAAATTCTTCGATGAGTTTTGTTATTTATGAAAATAATTAAATTCATGCTTAGAATTTAATCAAAACATTTTTTAAAAAATTGAATTTTCATGAAAAATTTTATTATTATAGTGAAAGTACCTAATTGAATTATTGTGAAAAATAAATTGCATAAAATTTTGTTAAATAATTGATTTTTTCGAAATTTTTTTGAAAATTAGCGAATTAAAAATAGTGGAAATTCTCTAAAAAAAATATTATTTATATTCTTTGTTCAGAAAGTTGAATATATAATAATTTTTTTACCTTCTCTATTCTTCAGAATAATTAAAATTTTCGTAATGAAGATCATTTTTAATTTAGGTATCAAATAACAATTTTTGCGAAATTCAATTTTCCTCGTACAAGAAAGTTTAAATATTTTCAATTTTGAAAATCTGATGTTAAATTTGAAATTAGTATCAAAGTTTGTTAAAGTTTTTTTATATATACTTTAAAGTTTAAAATAAGCCCTTATTTATAAATACTTTCACTTGTTCGAGCCCTGAAATTGTTTTTGATGGAAATTTTCCTGAGATAAAATTTCTAGCCTAGATTTAGAATTCTACGACGTAAAAATATACAAAGTTATAGATGCTGTGGAGTAGAAAAGAGAGGAAAGGAAGACAATCTCTGAAAATGAATCACAGGATGCATCCTTCCTCGCGAACAAACATGAACAACGATTCATTCAGAACGAAATTCTAACAGTTTATCGCTGGTTTATCGCTAGAGCTCAACTCGTCGTCTTTCGTCTCAAAGAATAGTCAACTTTTTTTTAAAACCTTAAAACCAAATACTAAAAAAAATATTGGGAAAGAAATTTTATTTGTAAAAAGTTAAAAATTAGAATATATTCTAAGCAAATAAATGTATTTTCCAGTTTTACATAACTGTAACGTACACCTTCTATTTACAAATTTTTGTTTCGGACAGTAAATTAAAACGTATTTAAAACTTTTCTTTTCATAATGCGCATTTTATATAATCGTGCAATTTTCAAAAAAAAATTATTTTTCCCTCCAAACAAAACATTTTCCCATCCCCATATAGTTACACAATCTATACGATGTCTAAAAATCTATTTTGATTCCGAATATTCAAAAAATATCTTTGGAAAATTACTACTTAGTAAAAGAAAAAAATTATTACAATATTTTAAAAAACAAACATTTATTTAAAAATTTTTATTTAATAACTATTTTTTTTTGCTTTTTTTTGTTCTTTTCCTGTTGTATATAAACGCTTTGAAAAACAGATAATGCTTAACATATGATAATATTTATAGAAAACTTTTACCAAAATTGCTTCTTTTTATTGCAAAATGAAAAGAATTAGCTGATATATGCTTTTATGAAAAAAATCGTTGCTTTGGAAAAATGTGTGAAAAAAAGCAAAAGAAAAAAATATTAACAGGTAACATATTATATAAGCTCATAATAATTTAACGAGAATAAAAAAAAACTTTTTTTGTCATTCTCTATAAATCTATGTAATTAACTAATAATTTATGAGTAGAAGAAGCTCACAAGATTTTTGTTTTTTTTTAGTCAGACGTAAAAAATATCGCAAGAGAAAAAAGGAATTTCAAATCGAGTAAATAATTATTTTCTATTACTGGATATTAGAAAAAAGAATATTCTCTAGAATCACACAAATGGAAAAATATTCTTTCTCTTTAAAAAAAAAGTGAAACTCACATAAAATATTTACTCGAAATTAAATTACCTTTTTTATCACCCCAAAATTCTTAATTTAAGAATTCGTTTAAAATTTTTAAGATTTACAATTTTATTTCAAACAGACAAACGAAATTTGCGCCTAAAAAAATGGAGAAATTCTTAAATTAAAAAAAAAAATACTACTATAATACATTTTCGTTTTTGTGTTTCTTTTAAATCAACAAGATCACGCACCGAGATTGTTTATTTTAAAAATAATTCGACGTTGCACTTGATGTATAATTTAACTTAATGGACATTAGTTTTTATCGTTTATTTACACTTCTGTTATCTAACTAGAATAATATATGATCACCGTGGTTATCTCATTCTCTCTCTCTCTCTTTACGCGAATTCGAAATTGTTTTTTCTTTTTTTCTCTGTAGTTTTAATGTTTATTGGCACTTTTATGAAACCGAATCTACCTTAGAAACCAAGTTTCGCAAAAAATGTGCGTGTAAAAATAGTGAAAATTGAAAATATTTTTCTTTTTTTTTTAAATAAAAAAAAAACTGAAGGAAAAAAGCTGGAGAAAGTAAGAATTATTTATATATTAACTATTTGTAAACCTGAGCTTTGAAAATTGTATATATTTAGGAATTATAGAGAAGCTCATTTAAAGGAAGAATATAATATTAGTCACTCAAATTTCAATTAGTATTGAAAAACAGAGGAAAAAAAATATGGTGGAAGCTCAAAACTCTGAGAATAAAAATGTGATTTGCTATAAATCTCGAAGAATTCAATTTTAAATAGAAAAAAGCAGACTTATTCTTTTTTTTTTGTGTATATCGTGTATCAATTGGAGAACAAAAATGAAGAGTGAACGAGAAAATTGACTTATTCTTAGAGCACAATATTTACCGGTAAGAATCAGAAAAAGTCGTGTTTTCTAATTCTATTTTTCCCGCATAGAAAAAAAATCACTATTATGCTAAAAAATGTTAACTTCTCGATACGCAAGACTCTAAAATATGTTTCTCGCTGGACAGTCAATCAATATTGCGGAAGTCTTGAGAAATATTTTAATTGAAAAGTTTCTTGTTTTTTTTTTTTTTTTTAGTCTTCCGTGAATGTGTCGATCACTAGCGTCTTACGCTTGAAAATATATATTTTTATATATGTATAGTAACCTACCAGTCATAAATTGATAAAGTGTCTTTCTATTCCAGTGCAATATTCCTTAAAACATACTTAACCGCATAGGCGAACGCTGCAAATCCAATAACAACGACGAGATTCGTGATGGCACTGTGCAATGGACTTTGATCGATTTGAAATTGATCTCTGATCAATGACGATACCTCAGAGGATGTCAATTGATGCCTCGCTTGTTTTTCCAATTCTTTCCGACGTTCAAGCTCCTTCTTAATGTCCTAAAACAAAAAAAAAGAAATTTTATTTTTATATTCATCTAGAAGAAAAATAATTTGTGAAAATAATTTTCTAATAATTTTCATTCTTACTGAAACAGTTTCGGGAAATAATTCACAAAATAATTTATCTTTCAAGTTATATTCTAAACTTTGGGCAGCCAGATGTTTTTTTTCATAGTCTGTTGTGGTTATACTCCCCAACGTTGGACTGTTTTCAATCTGTAATTTAATAGAAAAAAATGTTATTGTGTGTTTTTCTTTTTTAAAAATATTATTTAAATTAGTATTACCAGGGTGTCTAAAACTGATGTAAAAAAAATTTCCCTGGCATTTACAAGGTTTTTCAGGCCTTCCAAATTTTTTTTCCAGGTTTTAAGAATCGACATATTAAGAAGTTACAAAAAATGCATTGATTAAATTTTATTTAATAACACTTATAAATTACGTGGGAGAAGTTCACAACGTTTGTCATCAACGATTTGAAGAAAAAAACTGTTTTTCACTCAGAAAACAATATTTTACGTTTACAAAATTTTCTTTTTTTAACTTTTTGTACAAGAAATATTGTAAAATTTTTATTAAGACAAAAGTTTGAATAGAAAATTATTTTTTCTTCTAAATCATTGTAAACGTCAACAACGTTATAAATTATGAATATAAAATGAATATTTTTAAAAAAATTATCAGGGCTCGAACCAGTGACAGTAATTTAAAATCCATTTGTTTATAATATCAGGCATCGGATCGACTTTAAGGAGCAAAAAAAGTCGCTTTAGTCGATTTAAAATAGAAAAAAAGTCGAAAAAGTCATTTATTAAATTCAGTGTCGTCACAAAAATTTTATTTTTCATTCTTCTGATCTTTCACTGATTTCTAAATTTAATTATTTAAAACTTGAATAATTTCGTTAAATAAATATTTAAATACTTCTTGTTTGTTTTTATACGGGAATAAAATTTAAAAAATTTCTATTTTAAACCTTCTGAACTTTAATAACTTCTAAAAATTACAATTTTGATTCTCTTAAAATTCAATTATTTTCTACAATTTTTAATCAAACTTCTTCTCGAAATCAATTATTTTTAATAAGTTTCCGAAAGTTCTTAGAGAATTCAATTATTTAAATACAACTTAGAATGTTTTCAGGACCTTAAATTTTGCCAAATTTTAAATACAAAAATTCAATTCTTTGCAATGATTTTAACTATTCATGTTTTTTTAAGTTATTAATTAATTTTAAAAATTAATAAATTCTATTAAAAAAATAATTGAATTTTTAAAGAATTTTAATTATTATTAATATAAACGCGATTTCTCCAAAATTTTAATAAATCTAAAAAAATCATATGCTGTTAAAATGTTAAAAGTAATTGTAAAAAATTTTAATGTTATTATTTTTCGTATGTATTTGAATTTTTGGAAATTTCTATTTGAAAATATTGAAAATAATTGAATTTTAAAAAATTAGAATGCAAAAATTCTAAGAATTATTTTTTTCAAAAATATTTTAATATAATTTTTTTGTAGCTAATTTTCATTAATTACCATTTTTAAATTTACACTTGCAGATTTTTCATTAAAATTTTTGAGAAATCAATTTATTTTCAAAATTAGCAATGAAAATTCTTTTAAAGTTTATTTTCAAAAATTTTTATCAAACATTTTGAAAAAAATCAATTATTTTCAATTCAATTTTACAAAATTTCAATTATTGAAACTCTTTTTTTATTGTAAATTTTGAAAATTTATTTAGTAATTTATAAAAATAATTGAATTGTTTCGAAGAAATTATGAAAATTTTAAGAAATAATTGAATTTTATGGAAATATTTGAAAATATTTGAATTCTTCCGAGAAATTCAATTAAAGATGTTTTGAAAATAATTGAATTCCTGCAAAGAATTTTACTATTTATAAAAATAATTGAATCCTTGCGAAGAATTTTACCATTTATAAAAATAATTGAATTCTTGCGAAGAATTTTGCCATTTATAAAAATAATTGAATTGTTTTGAAGGACTTATTAAGATTTTAGAAAATAATTGAATTTATTCGAAATATATTAAAAATTTTTTTAAAAATTAAATTTTTCCGAGGAATTCAATTTTAATTATTTTCAAAATTTGCAATTAATATTCTTCAAATGTTGATTTTCAAAAATTTGTATAAAACACTTTTAAAAAAATCAATTATTTTCAATTAAATTTTAAAAAATTTTAATATTTATTGAAACTTTTTTCAATTGTAAATTTCGAAAATAAATTGCATTTTATGCAAAAAATTATTGCAATATTCGGAAGAAAAGTCGAAAAAGTCGTAATTTTTGAAAATATTCGAAAAAGTCGAAAATGTTATAATATCCGAGGCCTGATTATTTTGAGTTTCTATTTTCTAAAATTTATTTAATTAAAGAATTTACGAATAATTGAAATTTCGTAAAATTGAATATTGTAAAGAAATGGTTTTAAAAATTAAATTGTTCCGAGGAATTCAATTTCAATTATTTTCAAAATTTGCCATTAAAATTCTTCAAAAGTTGATTTTCAAAATTTTTTATAAAAAACACTTTAAAAAATCAATTATTTTCAATTAAATTTTACAAAATTTCAATATTTATTGAAACTCTTTTCAATTATAAATTTCAAAAATTTAATTAGAGAAATTATTAAAAAATAATTTTTTAAGATTTGTCTATAGTTATTTTTCACCCTATATATAAAAATCGAAATAAGTTGCATTTTATACTAATAAAAATTTTTGCAATATTTGGAAGAAAAGTCGAAAAAGTCGTAATTTTTGGAAATAAGTCGAAAAAAGTCTCATTTTTTGAAAATAGTCGAAAAAAGTCGAAAATGTTACAATATCCGAGGCCTGTAATATTCAATTTTACGAAATTTCAATTATTCGAAAATTCTTCAATTTAAATATACATATATTAGAAAATAAAAACTTCAAATAATTTAATATATAAAAATAAATTCAATTAACATTTCTCAAAAAAATAAATTTCAAAATTCAACTATTTCTAAAAATTCACGTATTGCTTTTAATATTCAATTATTATCTAAAATTTTAACTGAAATTCATTTTTTAATCAATTTTTATTAGAATTAAATTATTTAAATACAAAAATAAATAATTTATTGAATTATTGAATGTTTCTTAAAATTGAATTCTCATAAATAATTTTACCAACAAATTATTAAATTGATGACGAATTTAAATAAAATTTTTAAGAATAATTACATTTTTCGAAGAATTCGATTAAAATTGTATTAAAAATAATTGAAATTCTTTGATGTTTATTATTTATGGAAATAATTGAATTCTCGCAAAGAATTTTATTAAAATTTTTGAAAATAATTGATTTCTTTTGAGGAATTTAATCAAAATTGTATTATTGAAAATAATTGAATTATTGCGAAGAAATTTATAAAAAATTGGTAAATAATTGAATTCCTGTGAAATTTTTATTATTTTATGAAAATAATTAAATTTTTTAAAAATAATTAGATTCGTTTGGAAAAATTTTACTAAAATAATACATATCGTACGATATACGTTTGATGTATACGATATATACATATCATACGATATAAATACATATCATATGAGAAACATTTTTGAAAATAATTGAAATTTTGCCAAGAATTTTATTAAAATTTTTGAAAATAATAGAATTTCGGAGAAGCATTTTATTATTTATAAGGATAATTGAAATTTTGACGAGAATTTAAAAAAAATTTCCCGGTTTTCCAGGTGTTGTAGACACTCTGAAATTACTCACCATGAAACTTAATAAACCAGTGAGAATTGTGGATACACTCCAAGCAGGATTCCACGTGTCCGGATGAAAGTCTGATATCGATAGACAAAGTTTTGTGTTTACTTTGAATCTTCCATTTGGAGTGGTCATGTAAATACTAGGTGGTTGAAATGGAAATTCTCCTGGAAATATAAGCTTCCCATGATAAAATCCACCCTCATATGGCGTATTTTCTGGTCCTTTCACTACATAATGCCTGTGAAAAGAATATTTTAATTAAATTACAAATTATTAATTTTTTTTTCTGAGAAAAGAATTTCGAGAATTAAGAATATACAAAAAAAAAGAATTATAGTTCAATAAATAAATAATTAGTTACCATTCTAAAATATTAGATGGTACTGGCTCGGCCAAAACGTAAGGAACTGGGTCGTTTTTGAGTCTCATGTAATCTTGCTTTAACCTAGCAGTCGCACTGTTAGGCTTTTTGTTCATCCTGGCCATATGACTGAAGAAATTTTAAATATTCTAGAAAAATCTTAATGAAATTTATAACTTTCTTTCTCAATTTAATCCAGTGACACAATTCTTGAATGTTTCTTTTACTGCTGAAAATCTTTGACCCACTAGAAGTTCCAGTGAAATTAGAGGTTAAATTTCTCTTGCAACTTTATTATAAAAATTTCACTGTGATGATAAGACTTAATTTTAATTCGTTGAATTTTAAAATTACGAGAATAATATTTTGTTATGATCGTGAATAATGCTTTAAAATACTTTAGAGAGCATTATAGCCAATAAATTGGCTTCCAGATAATTAGAAATTTGCAGTTGCACCACGTCAGTCTTCTGGAATATGTGTTGTTGTCACAAGTCAATAACTCAAACTAAATATTATTGATTAAACTCACTATTATAATTATTGTTAGAAATAGAAACTATGGAATATTAAAAAAAGATTTTTGCGATTTTTGTTTTGGAATTGCACGCTGGGAGAAGTTTGACAGACTTTTTTTTAATGAGGGAAAAACATATGACGAATTCGTCATCTGTGATGTCATTTGCCCAGTCGATAAAGTTCAGTTCATAAAGTTTCAAATTTCTTATTCTTTTTTTTAGTATAAATGTTAAATTATAATTACTCCGTAATTGTTAACCATATATTAATATAAATACGATTACCACTATTAACAGTAAATATTGTTATTCAGTAATCAGATAAATAACTGTCGATAATGTCGAATTTATAGGTTAGGTTTTCTTTATCGATGCGGACTTGAACTAAAGCATGTCATTTCTTGTCCAATTGTTCAGATTTCAATTGAACTTTTCATATTTTGTATTTCAGAAAAAACAATAAAGTTTAGTTAAATAGTTTAAAAAATATATTTTGTTACATAAAAACTTCTACTAAGTTTAACTTTCTGCCGTAAAATAATAATAAACTTAAAATTAATTCCCGCTGAAAGAGGAAAAAGGGGATGTCAAAGTCGATGCGATTTTCCCATTGAAGCTCAATGCAAAAATCCAATCGACTTTGACATCCCCTTAAGTCAAGTTTCCACTAATTGCAATACTGCCAATACAACAATAAAGCAAATTTGGCAACACTGAATGTTCTATTTTCTATTTATTGTATATAATAATGCATATGTCATAACAAATAAAAAATTAAAATGTATTCTATTTTATATTAAAAAATGGGTGCCATGTAGAAAATTGTTCCTGTAAACTGTGCAAAACGAAAGAAAATTCAAGAAATGATAGAAAAGAAAAAAGATCTAAAGGTTGATTTATGTAAATTATACGTATACTTATAAAGAATATTCAACAAAATTTCCTTTCGGCAAAAAAAAAAAAACATGACCGACCCACTAGCTAAAAGTTTTGCATCAGAAACCTTTAATCCAGAAAAATGTAAGTATTTTTGAAACAAGACTTGTAAAATGCTAATAAAAATTGTATTTACATAATTTCTCCAAAATGGACTTTTGTAGACTTAGACTTTATTAAAAGAATATATTGACTATTTACAATAAAGTATTATAAATAATACTATAATTTGACTACAATTACATACATTAGAATATATTACGAGAAGTATTAAATTAAGTTTTCACTAATTACTATATTTGTTTTCATAAATATCCAGTTGTGAAAGATCTAAGTGCTCAATGTGTGGGAGCCGATGAATTACGAAAACAACGAGCAAGAATTCAGGAACTTGCAGACAGTACATCTGCACAGCTCAAGCGAAATGTTTATCAAAATTATATGCAATTTATTGAGACAGCCAAGGAGATATCGCATCTTGAAAGTGAAATGTATCAATTGTCACAACTTCTCAGTGAACAACGTACATTATTAAGTTCACTAGGAACCACTGGAACGACCGGTATTATATTTGATGGGGCATTCGATGCATTGCAAGAAAATGCAAACGATTTAATAACAAAGGAAGACGAGCAAAAGGAGAAATTAATACAATTATTGGAAAATGTCGAAGGCGCCTCGGTTTGTTAAAACAATTATATAATTAATTAGTTCTTAATAATATTGAATTATTTTATTAATTCAATATTCTGTTAAATCATTTTATTAATTCAATATTTTGCTGAAAAGGAAGAAAAATGGTTGAATGTACTTTTTTTCTTCTAGGGTTTAGTTGAAACACCGGGTCGAGTGTGCCTTCACGAAGGATCTTTACTGGAACTAGATCCCTTAGAAGGAACTCCATTAAAAAGAGTTCACGCTTATTTATTCAATGATGTTCTAATGGTTGCCTCATGGTTGGCGACTGGTGCTAGACGAGGTCCTCCTAAATATAAAATGCAGGCCGTTTACGATATACAAAGTTTAGCAATTGTTAATGTCAGAGATCTTGGAACTGTAAAATTGGCTTTTAAACTTTTGGCCTTTCCCGACACGAGGGTCTTTCAGTGTGCAACTGCAACGAGCAAGGTTCTTTTTTCTCTATTAAATATTAATTCTTCAATTATTATTTTAGTTATTTTTTAGTTCTCACCACAGTTGTCACAGGTCAGGAAATTCAGGAAAAAGTCAGGGATTTTTATTCAAAGTATTGGAAAAAATTAAATTTTTAGAATTCATTAGAAAATTTTGAATTTTTGTGTATTTTTTGTTTGCTTCATAAACTATGAAATTATCACGAATTCTAATACGAAACATTCAATTTTTTCTATTTCTGACGATAATTTCTTTTTAAATAACTTAATTTTTAAAGAGCTATCATAAAATTATTACTATAATATTATTATATTATTAAATTAATTGAATTTTAAAAGAGTTGCGTTTACAAATGTTATAACTAGATGAACTTCAAAAGGTTTCAATTTAAAATTTTAATAAAATTTCATTTTTGAATGAATTTCATTAGAAATTTTAAAGAATTTAGATTTTTGAAACATTTTAATAGTTCTAAATCTTCTAAAATTAGTTAAATTTTGCAATATATATTTAATTAATTATTAAAAATAATGGATTTATAGAAGAATTTTACAGGGTTGCCACAAAAACTTAACTTTATTTTTCCCTGACTTTTCCCTGATTTCCAGACATAATTTTGACTTTTTCCCTAAAGATAGAGCTGTGCAAAATAATTCAAACTGAACCGAATGTTGAATATTCGACATTTGAGTTACTACAAAATTCGAACCGAACCGAGTTGTGTTCGGTTTTGGAACGCTAAAATGTCGAATTCTAAAATTCGACATTTCAGTCGCCTAGTTCGAATGTCGAATATTTGACATTCGAACTAGCCCAGTTCGGATGTCAAATATTCGACATTCGACATTTCGGCGCCCCAAAACCGAACAAAACTCGGTTCGGTTCGAATTTTATACAGCTCTACCTAAAGAATATTCTGCGATTCACTCTGAAAATGATTAGAAACTCAGAAAAATGTTCGAATATTTGCGAATTTCTTTAATCGTAAAATTATTCAAAAACAATTGTTTTATTTATCATAATTATTTAATCATTATTTTTTCATTGAAATTTAAGATTTTTCAAAACAATCAATTCTTCTTTTATTGAAATTTAATAACTTATAAGAATATTATTATAAACATGAAGAAGTCAATCAATCAATCCATTTCTTCATATTTTTATAATAATTAACGATAACCCAAGGATAAAATTATTGTTTTTTTTAAGAATATTGTTACTCTTAACTTTTTCGAAATTATTTTCATAACTTAAATTCAATTATTATTTTCTACAATTTTTAACTAAAATTTTTCTTTAAATCAATTATTATTTAAAAGAACGAAAAATTTAGATTTCCAAAGATTTTAAATTCTGAGATGAAAATAATTGAATTCCTAAATGAAATTTTATTATTTATGAATATAATTGAATGTTATTGAATAATTGAAAATTGTAATTGAATTTTAACAAAAAGTTTTTTCAGTAATTAAATTTTTTAATAAATTTTTTTGAAAATAGTAAATATTGAAAATGATTGAATTAGGAAAAACTTGTTTGAAAATAATTGAAATTTTGAAAAGAATTTTATTTAAATTTTTGAAAATAATTGAATTTTTGGCGAAAAATGTTGCTATTTATATAGATAATTCAATTCTTGACGAGATATTCGTTAAAATTTGTAGAAATAATTGAATTTCTCCCAAGAATTATATTACATTTGAAAATAATTAAATTCTTGTGATGAATATTCTTATTTATAAAAATAATTGAATTTTGCAAAGAATTTTTTGTGAATTCCTAAAAATAATTTTGTTATTTATCAAGATAATTGCATTAAAACTTTTGAAATAATTAAATAATATTAAAAAATTCATTTTGCTAAGAAATAGGAAAAAATTTTTAAGGTTTTATTTTAGAATTCGTGGTAGTATCATGGTTTATGAGGCAAACAAAAAGACACAAAAATTCAGAATTTTCTTATGAATTTCAAAACTTTTTATTTTTTCCAACACTTTTAGTAAAAATCTCTGACATTTCCCTGACCTCTGGTTCAGGAACCTATTTTAGTCAAAAACACTAAAAAAATGAATTTTGGAGAAGTTTAGAAATTCAATTATTTTCATAAATAATGAAATTCACCGCAAAATTTTAATTATTTTTAATACCATTTTAATAAAATTTCTCGAAAAATGTAATTATTCTTCAAAATTTTATTATAATTCGTCGAAAGAATTCAATTATTTGAAAATTTGTTAATATGATTCTTTATCAGATTTCAATTTTGAGATAAACTTCAATTATTCAATAAATTATTTATTTTTGTATTTAAATAATTGAATTCTCCTAGAATTTTATAATAAAACTTGATTTAAAAATGAATTTCTCTTAACATTTTAGATAATAATTGAGTATTAAAAGCATTATAGCGTGAATACTTAAAAATAATTGAATTTTGAAAAAGTTTCAAATTAAAATCTTTGAAAATTTGAATTTCCCATCCTTTAAATAACAATTCTGTGAAATTAATTTTCTTGAAAAAGTTTAATTGAATTTTTTCTTGAAATTATTTGAAGTTTATATTTTTTTAAATATATTTAATTGAAGAGTTTTTGAATAATCGAAATTTCATTAAACTTCATTGTAAGCAGATGGATTTGAAAATTCTCAAAGAACTTTTTCAAAAAATATTAAAAATGATTGATTTAAATATTTAGGGGATTTTTTTTTCAAATTTTTAAATTTTTCGTGTCAATAGGAGGTATAAACTAACATATATCACAGTCAGTTTCCCAAAATTACCAGTTACCTTAAAGAAATTTCAGTTTTACCAAAGAGTGCAATTTTATCATTTTTAAAAATGTTGGGGAATTGTGGGCCACTGCCTAAATTGAGTTCAAAATCAAAAATAACAAGGAAATATATTTATTACATGGTTAGAAATATTAAAAATGTTAAAAATGTTTAATTATTAGTTTAAAATTCGAAAAGAAAAAGTAAGAAAATGAAATTAATCGGAATCACAATTAATTAATTACAAATTTTTAAGTAAATAGCTTTATCGCATGAATCGCAATGAAACGAATTGTTTTTGTTAAATTACTATAACTATGAGTAATTTTAATATTATTTGCAATTAAATCGACAAAAACAAGCAATAAATACTTCCCTAAAAAAAGTGGCCCATAATTCCCCAAATGCTTCATTTTACAAAAAGCTTTGTATTATTTATTCATTTTAATTTGATGCAAATTTTTTTTTTTTGAGTCAAAGTACCAATCCCACACAATAATTAAAAAAATATTTTCCATAATTTATTCTTGAAAATCTTTGTAAAAACAATAAAAACATGAAGGTCCAAAATAAATATTTGAATGCAATTTTTCAGGTGATTTTTGTTTACGGTTTATAGGTAATTATAAAGCGTTGTAAAGTAATGAAATGCTAATGAAAAATTTACTTTGGATGAACAAAAAAAAAAATAAAAAAAATTTGGGTGATCAAACTTATAAATATTATTAAATAATTGAGATGGCCCACAATTCCCCAATCTCCCCTACTATTTTAATAAAATTTTCCAAAAGAATTCAATTTACAATTAATTTTTTATAAATTTCTTTGCGATCATTCCATTATTTTCATAAATATTAAAATTCGTTTTTTGGAATTCAATTATTTTCTAAACAATAAAACTCATCGCACAATTTCATTTATTTTTAATACAATTTTAACTGAATTTCTCGAAAAATGCAATTATTAAAATTTTTATTATAATTCGTCGAAAGAATTCAATTATTTAAAAATTTTTTGATAAAATTCTTTATGAGAAATCAATATAAAAAAACATTTAATTACTCAATAAATTATTTATTTTTGTATTTAAATAATTGAATTCTTGTAGAATTTTCTAATAAAATTTTATTTAAAAATTAATTTCTGTTAAAATTTTAGATAATAATTGAGTATTAAAAGCATTATAGTGTGAATATTTAGATATAATTGAATTTTGAAAAGGTTTCAAATTAGAATCTTTGAAAATCTGAATTTTTCATACTTTCAACTAACAATTCTTTAGAAATAATTTTTTTTGAAAAAATTTTTATTGCATTTTTTAAAAAAATTATTTCAAGTTTTTACTTTCTATAGATAATATACAATTGAAGAATTTTCGAAAAATCGATGAAATTTCGTAAAATTGAATTGTAAACAAATGGATTTAAAAATTCTCAAAGAAGAACTTTTTCAAAAATTATTAAAAATAATTGATTTAAAGAGAAATTTTAGTAAATTTTCTTCAGAAAATTTTAGAGTGAATCAGAATATTCTTTAGGGTCAGGGAATATTTGAAAATTCTGTCTTTGAAATCAGGGAAAAACAAAATTAAATTTCTGTGACAACCCTGTACTTTTTACGCCGTTATTTTTTTTTTTACGTTTCATATTTTTTTTTTGCAGAAAGAATGGCTGGAGAAGTGTGAACAAGCAAAGAAGGCGAAATTGTCCGAAGAAATACCATCAGAGTCGACGAAAATTAATAAAAAGGAAGATCATTTATTGTCTTCTCGTTCAATGTCACTGGAATCAACTACAATAGGTAGAAAAATACATTTCTTTTAATTTTTGGAGTAAATTTAAATTTAAATAATTAAATTAAATTAAATTAATTTTTCAACAGGTGGGGATGACAATGAAAATATTGAATGTGAACCACTTCCCGAATGGGTTGTCGAAGTACCCGAGGATTTGGATTCGTGTATTGCACAACGACATTTTGAGGAAGCCTATCATCTTTTGGAGAAAGCGAAAAATTATTTAGACTCTGCACATGCAACGTCACATTTAACTGAAATGAAAACAAAAATCAACGAAAGGGCCAATTCATTGGTTGATGTGCTCACGAAAGAATTGGAATTGAGTGCGGAGGCGAAATCATTGCAAGGAGGCGGTTTACGAAGTGCACGACGTGCAGTTAGAATTCTCATACAACTTGACAGAAGTGCTCAAGCTTGTCAATTGTATTTAAAATTATGTAGCGCCGCCCTCAAGGCTCGATTGAAACGAGTTAAACGCGAGGGTGCAACAGTGCCTTATATTAAGCAATTAAGTGCTATTGCTTTTAGTAATATTGTTGAAATGTCGCGAGAATTTTTGAAAATTTTCCCCGAGAACACGAATTGTACTTCAGGTATGAGAAAATTTTATAATTTTTTATTTAACAAGAGAAGTCAGAGTGGCCACATGTCAGTAAAGTCAAATTTTTTTCAAGTATTTTGTTAAATAATTTTTGAAAATCAACTTTTAAAGAATTTTAATTGCAAATATTGAAAATAATTGAGTTATTAAAAAAGTTAGTGAAAAATCTTTAACTTTAACTTTAAAAATGAAAATTATAGCTTCTTTTAAAGTCAATATTTTCAGTATTTTTAATTATATGTTTCCAAAAATGCAAATACATACAAAAAATCATAACATTTTAGAATTATTTTTAAAATTTTGGAGAAAAGAATCATGTTCAAAATTTTTAATTAAAATTCATCAAAAAATTAATTAGATTCTTTAAATTATACAAAAATTCTTTTCTGAAATTCAATTATTTTCAAAAATTTTTCTCAGTTCAATCATTTTCAATATCTACTATTTTAATAGAATTTTCCAAAAGAATTCAATTATTTTTAAAAAAAAAATTAATAAAATTCTACACAAACTTTTAATTATTTTCAAAAAATAATAAAAATTTCACAGGAACTTCATTATTTACAAATTTTTTTATAAATTTCTTCGCAACCATTCAATTATTTTCATAAATAATGGAATTCTTTTTTGGAATTCAATTATTTTCACAAATAATAAAACTCATCGCAGAATTTCAATTATTTTTAATACAATTTTAATCAAATTTCTTGAAAAATGTAATTATTCTTAAAAATTTTATTAAAATTCGTCGAGAGAATTCAATTATTTGAAAATTTGTTGATAATGATTCTTTCTGGGAATTGAATTTTAAGATACATTCAATTATTCAATAAATTATTTATTCTTGTATCTAAATAATTGAATTCTAGTAGAATATTCTAATTAAAATTGATTTAATAATTAATTTCAGTTAAAATTTTAGATAATAATTGAATATTAAAAGCAATATAGCATGAATTTTTAAAAATAAATGAATTTTGAAATTAATTTTTTTGAAAAAGTTTAATTTAATTTTTTAATATTATTCAGGCCTCGGATCGAGTTTGAGGTGCAAAAATTTGGTAAATTCTATTAAAAAAATAATTGCATTTTTAAAGAATTTTAATTATTAATATAAACGCGATTTCTCCAAAATTTTAATAAATCTAAAAAAGTCATATGTTGTTAAAATATTAAAAGTAATTGTAAAAAATTTTAATGTTATTATTTTTCGTATGTATTTGAATTTTTGGAAATTTCTATTCGAAAATATTGAAAATAATTGAATTTTAAAAAATAAGAATGCAAAAATTCTAAGAATTATTTTTATCAAAAATATTTTTATATAATTTTTTTGTAGCTAATTTTCATTAATTACTATTTTTAAATTTACACTTGCAGATTTTTCATTAAAATTTTTGAGAAATCAATTTATTTTCAAAATTAGCAATGAAAATTCTTTTAAAGTTTATTTTCAAAAATTTTTATCAAACACTCTAAAAAAAATTAATTATTTTCAATTATATTTTACAAAATTTCAATTATTGAAACTCTTTTTTTATTGTAAATGTTGAAAATTTATTTAGTAATTTATAAAAATAGTTGAATTGTTTCGAAGAAATTATTAAAAATTTTAGGAAATAATTGAATTTCATGGAAATATTTGAAAATATTTTAATTCTTCCGAAAAATTCAATTAAATATGTTTTGAAAATAATTTATTTCCTGCAAAGAATTTTACTATTTATAAAAATAATTGAATTCTTGCGAAGAATTTTGCCATTTATAAAAATAATTTAATTGTTTTGAAGGATTTATTAAGATTTTAGAAAATAATTGAATTTATTCGAAATATATTAAAAATTAAATTTTTCCGAGGAATTCAATTTCAATTATTTTCAAAATTTGCAATTAATATTTTTCAAATGTTGATTTTCAAAAATTTGTATAAAACATTTTTAAAAAAATCAATTATTTTCAATTAAATTTTACAAAATTTTAATATTTATTGAAACTTTTTTCAATTGTAAATTTCGAAAATAAATTGCATTTTCTGCAAAAAATTATTGCAATATTCGGAAGAAAAGTCGAAAATGTTATAATATTCGAGGCCTGATTATTTTGAGTTTCTATTTTCTAAAATTTATTTAATTAAAGAATTTACGAATAATTGAAATTTCGTAAAATTGAATATTGTAAAGAAATGGATTTAAAAATTGTCAAAGAACTTTTTCGAAAATTATTAAAAATAATCGATTTAAAGAAGAATTTTACTTAAAAATTCTTGTAAGTAATAATTATAGTTATGAAAAATTGAATTTCTAGTTTTAAGTAAAATGTTCTCTTATTTGACTCGGACTGGTTATATTTTTGTCAGTAATTGGTCCGTAATTTTTAATTTTTGGTCCGTAAAGTCCGTATTTTTAAATACTTTCACTTGGTTCGAGCCCTGCCCTGGAAGTATTTGATTTTTAATCTTCCGTGTGTTAAATACGAGTTTAAAACTTTAAATTATTTTTGCAGCTTTACTCGTTTGGTGCAGTCATGAAATAAAACATCTTACCTCACATCTAATTAAACAGATGTTTATTCCTCAAGTTTCGATAAGCACTCTAGTAGAATGCATCGTTGCAGTTAGAAGTCATTGCGATCAAGTAAGTTTGTAGTTTTATTTTATTTTTGTAGTGTCTTTTTTATTACTTTTTTGGTTATTTATAAATTTATAATTTCAGTTATCTCAGTTGGGCATGGATTTTCGTTATCAATTGGACGGACAACTTCGTACGCCGTTAGCAAAAGCTTTGCAGGACGCCGGCGAAAAATATGTGGACGCTGTGAAACTTCGCGCTTCCGATGACACGTGGCGTCCATCAAATCTTCAAACAAGTCAAAATTTAAGTAAACTTTCAACGGAATTAGACGATCTTGGAATTCCCGTGCCAACGAGTTGTTTGACGAGTGACTGTTGGATTTCACTGACAACAAATACTTTAGCGTTTTCAAGATTGTACATAGGATTATTAGAAGACTGCCTTAGTGTAACAACACCCGAACTTATTTCAACTGTCGAAAATGTTCTCACTTCCGTTATGAGAGCACAAGTGCAACACATCACAGCTTCACTCTCAAATCCCCGACTAAAACAAGAGGTATTCTTTTCCAATTTTTAATATATTCGCAATTCCTTTTTTTTTCCCCTTTGTTTATTTAACTAAAAATTATTTCGTAATTTTATTATTATTTCTTAATTTTGAATAAAGTTCTTAATTAATTTTAACAATTACAGAAACAATTGGTGCAAGAGAATGCGGCGTACGTTCGAGAAGTGATAATTGCACGCGCTCTGGAACTTTACAAAAGTGTTACGAGGCAAAAGTTCGTTAAACTAATTGCACTTAAAGAACAAATAATATTTGGCCCATTAACTCCAAATAAACCAAAGCCTGCCCCGAGGACTTCAGTTCAAAAATACTCTACAACCGAATACATTTAATGTCATGAATTTGATATTAAATATGTTATATGGAATGTCAAGAGAATTAAATCATTATCTTCCGTATATATATATGTTAATATAATCTATTGTATATATGAATTAATGAGAATAAATCAAACCTAATTTAATTACATTATTAATTAACGTACAATCCGAGAAAACCAACTTACTTCTCTAAAAGATATACTTAATTTTAATGCACTAAACATGACATAATAACTTAATTTACTAAACTGGTCCAAATTTAACTTCATTCGATTCAACCTGATCGAAAAATGTCGCGAAATTTAAGTCTATTTTAATTTTCCGAGATTTATCATGCATTTTATTGAGTTTTCTTGATTAAATTTAAAATTAAATACTTTTCAGAAAAGAAAGAAACTGATCATGAGAAACGAATGATAAATTTCGGAGTAGAATAATAACGAAATAGTTTCGAGTTTATTTTCATCATTTTGCATCACCTTTTGAATTACTTTGTTCATTTGCAGCCTCTAATTTTCGTTTCTTTGCACGAATGTCATTTAGAGTTTGTTCTATACTCCTTTGATCTCTTTTGTTTTCGCTTGGAACTGAAAAAAAGGAATATATATATATATATATTAAATATACTTTATAATATATATATACTTATATATATATACTTTATAATAATCGTAAGTTTCCTTTCCGTTAGCAAATTCTCTTCATTCATTTGTTTGTTTTGAAAATTAATTTACTTATTAGTAATTTAATAAAAGTTTTATTGCATTTTATTGCATAGAATTATTGTCTAATGGTTATTTTATAAACTTTTAATGTGTCTTAATTTTATGTCAAAAAATTCGTGATTTTTAGAATATTCCACAAATCAATGAAAATCTATTGTTAATTTTTTCAATTAAAAATAAATCTTGTTTTAGACACTTCACAAAATTCACAAAAATTCCATTTCATATTTTTTATTTTCATGACTTCCTAATTTTCATCAAAAATATTTACTTTTTTCTTATCCTGCTAATAAATTGAATTCTTGCAACGAATTTTATTATTCACGAAAGCATTTAAATAATATTTATAAAAATAATTTCATTCTTGCCAAAAATTTTATAAAAATTTTTAAATAATTCATTTCTTTCGACTAATTTTATGAAAATTCTAATTTAAATAATTGAATTTCTGAGAAATTATTATTATTCATGAAAAGAATTGAATTCTTGAAAACACTTAAAAGAATATTTAATTTTGGAGAAATTACAAAATCTTGCCGAAATTTAATGATTTTCAACATTAATAAAATTCTTTGCAAAAATCTAATTATTTTCAAAAAATCTAAAAAAAATTGTGATCATTTCAATTATCTTTATCATGAATAATAAAATTCTTCGACAAAATTAAATTATTTTCAGGAATTTAAATAAAATTCATTGCAAAATTCAATTATTTTCATAAATAATAATAATCATCACAAGAATTCAATTATTTTAAAAAATTTTAATAAAAGTAATTTCAAAATTTTAATTATTTTCAATATTTTACTATTTTAATCAAATTTCCCAAAAGAATTAAATTATTAAACAAAAATTTTGATAATATTAATTAAATTCTTCGCAGTAGTTAAATTATTTTCATAAATTTTAAAATTATTTTCAGGGATTTAATTATTTCCATAAAAAATAAAATCATTGAGAGGAAGTCAATTATTTTCATAAATAAAAAAAAAATCACAAGAATTAAATTATTTTCAAAAGTAGTAAAATACAATTATTTTCAAAAATTTAAAAAAAAATTCATTGCCAAATTTTAAATATTTTCAAATTTTTCTTAATTCAATAATTTGTTTAGTTTAATAAAATTTCCTAAAAGAATTCAATTATTTAAAAACAATTTTGACAAAGTTCTACACGAATATTCAATTATTTTCTAAAATAATGAAAATTTTACATGAATTCAATTATTAAAAATAAAATTTGCATAAATTTTTTCAAAAAAAAATTAATTGTTTGAAACTTTTTTTTATAAAATTCTCCACAATCATTCAATTATTTTCTTTAATAATAAAACTCATTGCAGAATTTCATTTATTTTTAATACAATTTTGATCGAATTCTTCGAAAAATGTAATAATTCTTAAAAATGTTATTAAAATGCGTCGAATAATTCGATTATTTAAAAATTTTGTTGATAAAATAATGTATAATTGAATTCTCGTAGAATTTTCTAATTAAAAATTTAAATTTTTGAAAATTTAAATTTTTTATACTTTTATTTAAAATTCTATAGAATTAATTTTGTTCAAAAAGCTTAATCGAAATTTTCTAATATTATTTCAAGTTTTTATTTTCTAATATTTATTTAATTGAAGAATTTACAAATAATTGAAAGTAAAATTGAATAATGAATTCTTCCAAAGAATATTAAAAAAGTATTTTTTTAAATAATTAATTTTTTCGAGGAATTGAAATTAAATTTTTTAAGAATAATTACATTTTCTCAGCAATTCCTGTAAAATTGTATTAAAAATAATTGAAATCCTGAGATGAATTTTATTATTTATGAAGTTGTTGAGAATTTTATTGTAATTTTCAAAAATAATCGAATTCCTGAAAAGAATTTTATTATTTCTGAAAATAATTAAATTATTGCGGAAAAGTTTATTAAAATGTTTAAAGAGAATTGAATTTCAGTGAAAAATTTTGTTATTTTTGAAAATATTTGAATTCTTCATAAGAATTTTGTAATCATTGTATTAAATAATTAATTTTTTCGAAACATAATAAATAATATGAAAATTTTATTTTATATAATTGAATTCTTGTGGAAAACTTTATTTGTGAAAATAATTGCTTTTTTCGATTAATTAATTTAAAATAGTATTAAAAATAATTGAAATAATTAAATTCATGCTTAGAATTGAATCAAAAATTTTTTTTCAAAAATTGAATTTTCATGAAAAATGTTATTATTAGTGAAAGTAATTGAATTATTGTGAAAAATATGTAAATTGTATCAAATTTTGTTAAATAATTGATTTTTTCGAAATTCTTTTGAAAATGCTATTTTAAATTAATTGAATTCTTTTGCGAAATTTCAAGAAAATACTAGATATTGAAAATTGAATTTCGAATATTTTTGGAAAATAATTGAATCTTTTTAAAGAATTTGATTATAATTTTTGAGAATAGTTTTTGATTTCTAGTACATATTAGCGAATTTAAAGTAGTGGAAATTTCCTTAAAAAATTATTATTTATATTCCTTGTTTAAAAAGTTGAATATATAATAATTTTTTTACCTTATCTCTATTCTTCAGAATAATTAAAATTTTCGTAATGAAGATTATTTTTAATTTGAAAATTTAATTCTAATTAGTTTTTCAGTTATGTTTCATAATAATATCTTAAAAAATTAATTAAATTAAAATGACTTGAAATTGTTTACAATAATCAGTGCAATACAACATAATCTGGCTAGTAATTTAAATAAATTTAAATTAAGTAACAACATTTGATTGAAATGAATGCTTTACAAAGAAGTGGTATTTTTTTTTGGCAAAATACTTACCGCATCCATAACTACTGTTTGCTTCGGTTTTTCTAGCAGCTTCGAGAGCAGCTTCTTTGCCAATTAAATGTTGATATTTATCTTTATAGAAACTATTAGGCACAAAATTATTTCTCTCCTTTCGAGTTTTAACCTCTTCGAGTGTCTCTTTGGCCAAACGTTCCCTCTCTTCTTGCAGTCTTTTTCCTACTTCTTCATTCCAAACTTCACCCTTTCGTAAAGTACTTATTTGATCCTCGGAAGGAGCGTGTTCTCTTTTAAAAAGTATCATATACCTGTCGATACCTTCCTCGCCAAATGAATATGCCCAAATGTTCGCTTCCTCAGCAACGTCATGACTAAAATTGGAAATGAATAACAAATATTAATAATTAATTATAATTAAATTAATATTAAGAATCGAATTCCTTTATAATTCACATACATTATTGTCCGATAAACTTTATCCATTGGAGGAAATTTGTATTCTTTTGCAGAGTCATCTTTAAGAAATTTGCTTAATCTTGCTTCAACCTAAAATATTTAATGCATTCAGAAAGTATAATTAGCAATTAAATTATGATTCATCTACAAGTATAAATAAGAAATTTATTTTTACCTCTTCTCGAAAATTCTTCAATTTTTCTGCCTCTGCTTTTTTAAACTTTTCATGCTCCTCTCTTTGTTCTGTGATAAACAAAATTTTTATTTAAATTTATGTCACGATTTGTTCCTTTATATTAAAATGATTTTAATAAATTTAATTACTCCAATTTTAATATAAGCAGGGATTACGATTATATTTTAATAAGAAAAACTTACTTTTTATTAGAGCCTTTTGCTTATCACTAATACTTGGAGGTTTATCCATCGAATTAAGAATCGAATCAAGGAGATCCATGATGTCAATTAATTATACAATTTGTAAATTTGTAATAATAAAGACAGCAAATAACAATTTTAATTCATTGAGTTCATTGACAAAAATGTACGGGTTTGCGAGATATTTTGTTGAATAATTCAATTGATTTATTAACTGTCAATTTGTCAGAAGTATAATTTTTATAACTGACAATTACACAGAGTATAGCACGTCACAATAATGCGTAAAAAAACAGAGTAATATTCTGAAAATTGTTCAATAAGCAAAACAAAATTTCCTGGCACTTTGACAATTAACGAATTTTATGGGCATTTTGAAGTTAGGTTATTAACTTTAGGCACTATCCACTAGTTCAGAATATTGCAATAGAAATCTTATGAACGTATCTTTAATTATAGAACTTTGATGTAAACCAACCTTAAACAATTCAAAAATTTAAGCAGCAATATCAATAAAATAATTTTATATTTACTTTGTTAGAATTATTTTTACATTCACTAACTTTTTTCTTTAAACAATTTTATTTAGGATTTCAATTTTAAATTATCCATTATTTGAAAATGTCAAATTTTTGAAAATATCATTTCCTGCTATGTTCAGATGGGATTACTTTGTTGCTGTATTCACATTATGGAGTATACGGTGTCATAAAAAATTATGAAACATTAATTTGTAAATATATTTAATTTTAAATACAATTTAACATTGGTAAATTATTAATAATAATAATTGTAAGAGTTCCACGAAATTTTCAGAAAAATACGAATTCTTTACATTATTTATATTTTACAGTAAAAATCAACAAACATGAAGCAAATTTTATGTGGAAGATTTGGGTAAGAATTTCAACATTATTTTTATTTTTATAATAAAATAGTTGACAATTATTATTTACTTGCGAATCAACATCGTTTATTTGAGGGAAAAAAAGTATTAGTTTATTTATTCTCAACTATTACTTTATATCAAATAGGATCAATACGATTTTTTTACCGTTTTGTAGGTTATGTTCACTATCAATCATTTTTATTTTGATATTGAAAAAAAAAATATAATTTCGACATTTTAATTATTTTTCTGAATGAAGATTTTAATAATTTATTAGATAAAAAGGGTAATTTTAATTATTAACTTAATGGAAATGATAAATATCGGTTATTATAGGAAAGTACTCGGGGAAATTGAATTAAATATTCATTAAAAAAAACGACAAATTATTAATTATAGGTGAAACTTTTACGCTGTGTCTATTTCGCCCGCAAACGGGCGAAATAAGAGTGATGAATTATTTCGCCCGTCACTAAAAATACGTAGGTGGGGGACAACGGGCGAAATAAGAGCAATGAATTATTTCGCCCGTTATATAGTTATTCCTATAATACCATTGAAAAATTTTTAATTTTTAAGGTGAATGACAGAAATGAAAAGAAGTGTGTTCAAGTCAGGTTAGTAACCTTCACACCAAATTCAAATAATTATGTGTAGCTCATTTTTAAAAAAAGTACAGTTTCTTTATTTAAGTTTTAAAATGAATTTCACACTTTCACACTTTCTTTAAAAAAAATGTTTTTGTCAATCAAAATAAAAAAAAATAAAATTATTTCTAAATTTTTCTTTCAAAAATAGTATCATAAAACTTATTTTCCAAATCTGAGTTAATATACTTTTGAACTGATTTGAACAAAAATAATAAGAATTTTCTAAAAATTAATGTTTTTAGTCTACATAGATAGGTAGAAAAAATATTAAAATACATAATCTAGTTTATTTTATAAAATATTATGTAGAAAATTACTAATGAGCACCAAAAATATTGATAAATAAAGAAAGTTTGTGAATTATTATAAAAATTCACAACTTTTTAAGTTTTTAATTCAATCTTCACAAAAATATACAAGTGTCAAGCTAACCTTTTTCCCATTAAAATTAATTAAAAAACCAAAAACGGGCGAAGCAATGTGTAATTGCTACTTCGCCCGTTTGACATATTTTTTTTACTTATTTTTCATGATGGGCGAAATAATTTACTATTTTTATTTCGCCCGTTTCCCCCTACTCACTAATTTTTCATGACAGGCGAAATAATTCATCTCTCTTATTTCGCCAGTTGTCCCCCACCTACGTATTTTTAGTGACGGGCGAAATAATTCATCACTCTTATTTCGCCCGCAAACGGGCGAAATAGACACAGCGAAACTTTTATATATCAGTTTTAAATCTTTATTTCTCTGCAGGCGAAATATTTTATTGAGATCAAAATCATCTCGTAAAGCAGTATCGATTATAAATTCAAAAAGTTTAATGACAGGAAGATTAACAAGGCCTTTACTTGCTTCTCCACATCCTCGTTATTTTTTAAATCCTCATCGTACATATGGAATGTTTATCACCAGAGTATTGAGAGGAGCTTTAAAACTACGCTACATTCTTTTAGGTGGAGCAATAGGTGGAGGTGTCACTGCACAGAAGGTAATAATCTATATTAATAATAATCGTTGTATTCCGGTAATCTGTTCGCACTTTGAAGTTTTAAGACTTTTATCAACATTTTTTTCCATAATTAAATTTTTTTTTAAAAAATATAATTAAAATTTTATTGAAAATAACTTAATTCTTGTTAAGATTTTTATTAAAATTCTTTAAAATAATCGAATTGTTTTGAAGAATTTCGTCAATATTGTTGAAAATAATGAACTTTTTCAAAATAATTTTTACTGAAAATTTTTAAAGTAATTGAATTTTATGAAGAATTTATTTATTTTCAATAATTGCAATGAAATTCTTTGCAAAAACTCAATTTATAAATAATAAAAATTTTCGTAAAAAAATTCAATTATTTTTATACAAATAATAAAATTCTTATCAGAATTTCACTTATTCAATAATTTCAATTATATCAGTAAATAGAAAATTTTCTCCTGGAATTTAATTACTTTAAATACAATTTTCGTAAAATCCTTCACAAAAATTCACTCAATATTTAAAATTTTACAAATAATTAATTATTGTCAGAAATAATTAAATTTTTAATGTGCTGAAAATCATTGAATTCTTTTAAAATATTTATAAAAAAATTTGAATATAATTGAATTTATTTACAAGAATTATATCAACAATTTTTCAAATAATTGAATTCTTTCAAGAAAATGTAATTAAAATTGTATTGAAAATATGTAATTTAATTCTTGGCAAGATTTTTATTAAAATTCCTTAAAATAATGAACTTTTTTAAAATAATTTTTACTGAAAATTTTGAAAATAATTGAATTTTATGAAGAATTTTCCTATTTATAAAAATAATTGAAATGTTTCGAAGAAGTTATTAAAATTTTAGGAAATAACTGAATTATTTTAAAGAATTTTATAGAAATATTTGAAAATAATTTAATTCTTTCGGGAAATTTAATTACAGTTGTTTTGAAAATAATTCAGCTTCTGTAAAGAATTTTATTAAAATTAATTATCTATATTCAAAATAATTGAATTCTTCAGAAGAATTTTATTATTTGTAGAAAATAATTGAATTTATTCTAAATGTATTAAAATTTTTTTAAAAATTGAATTCTTCCGAGGAATTCAATTAAAATTGCTTTGAAAATAATTGAATTCCTGCAAAGAGTTTTACTATTTATAAAAATAATAGAATTCTTGCGAAGGATTTATTAAAATTTTAGAAAATAATTGAATTCCTCTGAAACATTTTATAACGAATTAAGAAAATAAAATTAAATTCTTTCGCGAAATTTTATATTGAAAATAATTGAATTTTTGCAAAGATTTTACTATTTAAAAAAATAATTGAATTATTTAGAAGGTTTTATTAAAATTTTAGAAAATATAAACAATAATAATTAATTTTGTACTTTAATAAGTGAATTTTTTGAATTTTGATTATGAAATTATTTGAAACTTTATATTTGAAAATAAAATTTTTTGTAATTTTCATAATAATAATACATTGAATTTTTTCCTAGAAATTTTATTAAAATTGTATTAAAAATAATTGAATTTCTCAGAAGAATTTTATTATTTACAAAAATAATTGAATTCTTAAGACAAAATTTTACAATTTATAAAACTAATTGAATTGTTTCAAAGAATTTTTTATCAGAATTGTTGAAAATAATTGAATTTAAATAATATTATTAAAACTAATTGTATTCATTCGAGAAATTTAATTGAAATTGTATTGAAAATAATTGAATTCCTCCGAAACATTTAATTATTTATGAAAGTAATTGATTTTCATTGAAGGATTTTATTATTTATAAAAATATTTTAATTCTTGCGAAGAATTTTCTTATTTATAAAAATAATTGAATTGTTTCGAAGAATTTTTTAATTTATAAAAATAATTGAAAAGTTTCGAAGAATTTTATCTGAATTTTTGTAAATAATTTATTTTTTTTGAAGGAATTTTATTAAAAATTTTGAATATAATGATTTTTTTAACAGAATTTTATCAAAATTGTTTAAAATACCTAATGAACTTTTTTTAAATAATTTGTACTGAAAATTTTGAAAATAATTGAATTTTATGAAGAATTTCTTTCAAATATTTAAGATAATAGTTTTTATTATTAATTCTAATTAACAATTTTCCTATTAAATTACATTAAAATTATTCATAGAAAATTAAATTCTTTTAAACAATTTTATCATAGTTTTTGTAAATAATTACATTTTTTTTAAAGAAATTTTTTAATTTATAAAAATAACTGAAAAGTTTCGAAGAATTTTATCTGAATTTTTGAAAATAATTGAATTTATATCAAAATTCTTGATATAAATATAACATTTTTTAGTTTACAAAATAATAATAAATGGAATACAACGTTCCGCACTCTAGCGCGCGTATCATTTTCTCAATTAAATTAAAGTAAAATTTTCTATTACTTAATTATGTTAAAATAATAATTAAAATATAACATTTTTATTTTATTTATTTTATTTTATTTCAAGTATCAACGGGCTTACAAAATAAAAAACGCCCTTTCGTACAAAGTACTAATATATAAGAAAAGGAAAAAAGAGAAAGAAAAGAAAAAAAAGAATATTAATTACAATGAATAGTTAATTAATTATTTGATTACGCTGTGTAATATTCAAATAATAAATTGCGTAGGGCAGTGAGAAATCGTAGAGTTGAATTATCGAAAAAATTTAGATTTTGTATTATTTAATTGTTACAATATTAATAACAAAATTTTAGAAATATGAAGAATGGAAAGAAGCCTTACCAGACATGAGTTGGGTTCAAAAATTACTTCCTAAAGATCAAGAATGGCAAGACGCGACTCAATCTATTATTCAATTCAAAGACAAAATGATAGGAAATGTGAATATAGGTTTGTAGATAAATTAATTACTATTTTCAACTTTGGAGTTTAAATTTATGGAAAGGAAATGTTTCTTTCTCAAATTAAATTAAATAAATTAAACTTTCAAAGAAGGTAAGTAAACAGACTCCAGGGTTGAAAATTTCAAATTTGCTAATAATTTTCCATCGTAAACAAAAAAAAAATTCATTTGCCATGAAATATTGGCAACTGCGAACAGATCCACGATTGAAGGAGCTTGGGGAGGCAAAATATCGAGAATATAAGATGTGGTTTGACCAGAGATTGGATAATGCAATTAAAGCGGCAGAAAGCCGCAAAAGCATTGATCAAAATGGCAATTCTTCAAATCGTGAGTCGATTTTTGTTGTTGTTTTGGAAATGCCTCCTTAATCCAATCCCTGTCCATCGAAAATTAGAATTTTATTCATTTCTTTTTTCAAATTAAAAATATTATTCTTCAATCTAATATTAATTGAAAAAAAATTCTTTAGCTTTATTTTTTTTAATTGCTTTTGTGTTCGTGTGACAAATTTTCGCCCTTATTTTCTCTGAGGAATATTTTTAATTAAAAGTTGCCAAAAATATATTAAGGCAAATGAATACTCGAAGTAAGTTAGAGATAAATTAATTAGTGCTTATTGATTCATTAGTTTTTGATTAATATAGTAAACATTAAATTCTGCTATTAAATTAACTTAAAATTGGATTAATTAGAATCGTTTCCTTTTAATCAGAAAAAATTTCGCTCTTGAAAACATTTTTTTCTACTTGCATGATTTGGAATGTGAAGTGTTTTTCTTTAATTTTCACTTTTCTTTTATTTTTAATGATTAATTTGGTCTGTTCTGTTCAGGTATGTTTGACGTGATCTCGACTGTAGCAAACCAAGTTTACTCAGGTGTGTAAAATACGTAAATTAAAACTAAAAAAAAAGACTAAAAATAATTGACAGACTATAAATAGAATTGTCCGTCCATTCAGTACATTTGACTTTTCGTAAATGACTTTTATTTTTGAAAATAACTCAAAATTTATTATTTTTAATGCATTTAAAACTGAATGGGACAGACCTATTGCTTTTTTATTTTTATTTGTTCCTGCACATTTTTTTCAAAAAAATATATACATAATGTTTTCTCTCACGTGAAAATTATAATTTAGTAATTTAAAAAATTACTAAACAAGTAAAACAATTTATTACTAATTTTATAATGTATTAAACATTTTTTTTTATAATTTTACTATATTGTAATTGACTAAAAAGTTAATAATTAATTTTTAAATAAAAATTACCAATTAGAAATACTAAATTTAAATTATACTGTATTATTTTAAATACTAATATTTACTGTAGTTTTGTACTTGCTATTCGTTTCATATTATATTATTGTAATATTTAGAATATATATTTAATAATCGAATTTTTAAAACAGATACAAAGGATGAATTTCTAAAGAATTCGGTAGTTCAAGCTCGACCATTATTAAACGATAGTGTTCAAGAAGAGCGTCGAAAAGCTCGTAGGTATAATTAATGTAAAATGTTCTGAATTTATAGTATAAATTTTTTTTCTACGATAAATAACAATTTTTCTTTTTATTATTAATGTTCAGAATCATCACAGCAAAGAATGGATGCAATGCAGAATGAACTTATACAAATTCAATTAAAATATCAACGAGAATTGGAAAGATTGGAAAAGGAAAATAAGGAACTTCGCAAGCAAATGTTATTGCGAGGAAATCAAAAACTTAGTAATCGAAAAATCAAAGTAAGCACAAATTTTTCTTTACATTCATTTTCTTACATATTTTTCTTTAAATATTTTTCATAAAATATTTTTCTAAATTATTTTCATAACATGCTGTTTTTGAAAACTATTTTAAATAGTTTACTTAAATTAAAATTTAACTATAAAACATGAAGATATCGATCACTCCGAGTCTTTGACTCGGAGTGATCAATTTATTTCTGTTTTATAATAATTAAAGATAGCCCAGTGATAAAATAATTATTTTATGTTATAAAAATATCGTACTCCTTCAAAATTATTTTCATAATTTCAATTCAATTATTATTTCCAAGAATTTGTAACTAAAATTCTTCTAAATCAATTATTTTTAATAATTTTCTAAAAAGTTCTTTGAAAATTCTCAAATTCATTTGTTTATAATATTCAATTTTACGAAATTTCAATTATTCGTAAATTCTTCAATTAAATATATATTAGAAAACAAAAACTTCAAATAATGTAGAAAAAAATTCAATTAAACTATTTCAAAAAAAATTAATTTTAAAATTCAAATATTTCTAAAAATTTACGCTATATTGCTTTTAATATTTCATTATTATCTAAAATTTTAATTAAATTCGTTTTTAAATCAATTTTTATTAGAAAATTCTAATAGAATTCATTTATTTAAATACAAAAATATAATTGAATTTCTGCAATATTTTGTAATTTCTCCAAAATTAAATATTCTTTTAAGTGTTTTTAACTAAAATTCTTCTATGAATTTATTATTTTTAATAATTTTTTAAAAAGTTCTTTCAGAATTTTCAAATTTATTTGTTTACAATTCAATTTTACTTTCAATTATTCATAAATTCTTCAATTAAATAAATATTAGAAAATAAAAATTTTAAATAATATTAAAAAATTTCGATTAAGCTTTTTGAACAAAATTAATTCCATGGAATTTTAAATAAAAGTATGAAAAATTCAAATTTTCAAAAATTTTAATTTTTATTAGAAAATTCTACGAGAATTCAATTACACATTATTTTATCAACAAAATTTTTAAATAATCGAATTCTTTCGACGCATTTTAATAACATTTTTAAAAATTATTACATTTTTCGAAGAATTCGATCAAAATTGTATTTAAAATAAATGAAATTCTGCAATGAGTTTTATTTTTAATGAAAATAATTGAATTATTGCGTAGAATTTTATAAAAAAGTTTCAAACAATTAATTTTTTTTGAAAAAATTTATGCAAATTTTATTTTTAATAATTGAATTCATGTAAAATTTTCATTATTTTAGAAAATAATTGAAAATTCGTGTAGAACTTTGTCAACATTGTTTTTAAATAATTGAATTCTTTTGGGAAATTTTATTAAACTAAACAAATTATTGAATTAAGAAAAATTTAAAAATACTTGAAATTTTGCAATGAATTTTATTAAAATTTTTGAAAATAATTGTATTTTATTACTTTTGAAAATAATTGAATTCTTGTGATGAATTTTGTTATTTATGAAAATAATTGACTTCCTCCAAATGATTTTATTATTTATGGAAATAATTAAATCCCTGAAAATAATTTTAAAATTTATGTAAATAATTTAACTACTGCGAAGAATTTAATTAGTAATATCAAAATTTTTGTTTAATGATTGAATTCTTTTGGGAAAATTGATTAAAATAGTAAAATATTGAAAATAATTAAAATTTTGAAATTAATTTTATTAAAATTTTTGAAAATAATTGAATTTTGCAATGAATTTTATTAAAATTCCTGAATATAATTTAATTTTGTCGAAGAATTTTATTATTCATGATAAAGATAATTAAAATGATCACAATTTTTTTTAGATTTTTTGAAAATAATTGAATTTTTGTGAAGAATTTTATTAATTTTGAAAATAATTGAATTTCGGCAATATTTTGTAATTTCTCCAAAATTATATTTTCTTTTAAGTGTTTTTAACTAAGATTCTTGTATAAATCTATTATTTTTTAATAATTTTTGAAAAAGTTCTTTGAGAATTTTCAAATTCATTTGTTTACAATTCAATTTTACATTCAATTATTTGGAAATTCTTCAATTAAATACACTACCGTCCGTGAGTATCAGGACGCCCCTTTTTTCATGAGTGGAAAAATGCTTAAAACGTAGAAAATAAGAATGACGAAAATTTTACGTATTTTTTTCCTGAAAGCTAATGAAATTATGAAAAGACTGACACCTGATCGAAGAATTTTCGTTGACTATTCTGTCAGATACAGAAAAAATACTGGATTTTGCATGCTTTTCGTAATTTTTTAATTTCTCGAAAACTAATTAACTTTTTTTAGCGTTCTTGGTCTTGTTTCAATCTCTATTTAATGTAGAATCTAAATTATTAACTGGTATTTTGAAATAAATTTTTCCAAAAAAATTTGAAAGCGTAAAAGTAGGATTAAAAAAATTTTGAAAAACAGATTGACACTTTTTCAAAAAAAAAAAAAAATTTTAAATTAAATAATTAAGTAATTAAAAAGTTTTTTTGAATTTTAGTATATCTATTAAATGAACATATTTTGCATTGACCTTTTTGACACTTTAATATTCATGATAATTTTTTGAATTTTTTTAATCCTACTTTTGCGCTTTCAAATTTTTTTGGAAAAATTTATTTCACAATATCAGTTAATAATTTAGATTCTACATTAAATAGAGATTGAAACAAGACCAAGAACGCTAAAAAAAGTTAATTAGTTTTCAAGAAATTAAAAAATTACGAAAAGCATGCAAAATCCAGTATTTTTTCTGTATCTCACAGAATAGTCAACGAAAATTCTTCGATCAGGGGTCAGTCTTTTCATAATTTCATTAGCTTTCAGGAAAAAATTCCAAAAAATTTTTTTTGAATAATTGACTTCTCATAAGGAGTTTTATCAACAAATTTTCAAATAATTGAATTCTTTTGACGAATTTTAATAAAAGTTTTAAGAATAATTACATTTTTCTAGGAATTCCATTAAAATTGTATTAAAATTCAGCATTGAGTTGTAATGATTGTTAATTGTGAGGGATTAGCTCGTCGGTCAGGGTTCGTTAAAATATTGGAAATTAACAAGTTCAATTACAGAAACATAGAAAACGTGTATTTACAAATATTTACAAATGATAAAGAAACTAATTAAACGTATAAAAATCGTCAAATCGCGTGAAAAACGTAACGGAATCTAATTAAACGAGGAAACGTCGGTAACAGCGGAAACGTAATTATCGGTCGGTGCGCGAATTCTTTAATTCGCGACTTCGTGAAATTTAACGCGGGGACGGCATTTTTACCTTGCGGTGGAACCGCTTGTAAAATCGCGAAGTTTACGGTAGAACCATTTCGTGACAAACGCAACTTTTATTCGTCGGCGGTGAAAAACCGCTTCGAGACTATCGCCTCCTGGTGCCTATGGTAAAACCATTTCGGAGTAGAACTCCTTCGGCTCGTGGTAGGACCACTTAGGGTAGAACCCTTTACTGCGGTAGAAACCGCCTCGTCTCGCATTTTTGTGCTGCGCTCCAGCTTTTATAGGCCGTCGGGAACACAGGACTAGTCGTCGCCGTCTGGTGGGGTGATGCGCGCGCAATTCACAGGATCGTAACTATTAATTCGCGTACCCAAGTTTTCAAATTTACAGAATAACTTGTTTCGAAATTAACTATTGTTACAGAGTTTTATTATTTATAAAAGTAATAGAATTCCAAAAAAGAATTTTATTTACGAAAATAATTGAATCTCTGTAAAAATATTATTATTTATGAAAATAATTGAATAATTTGGAAAAAATATATAAAAAATTTGTAAATAATTGAATTCCTGTGAATTTTTTTTATTATTTTATGGAAATAATTAAATGTTTGCGTTGAATTTTATTAAAAAAGTTTTAAATAATTGAATTCTTTTGGAAAATTTTATTAAAATAACAAATATTAAAAATCATTGAATTGAGGAAAATTTTTGAAAATAATTGAAATTTTGTCCAAGAATTTTATTAAAATTTGTGGAAATAATTGAATTTCGAAGAAGAATTTTATTATTTCTAAAAATAATTGAAATTTTGACGAGAATTTTTTTAAATTTTTGAACATAATTGCATTTTTGCGAAGAATTTTATTATTTTTGAAAATAATTGAATTTCTACAATCATTTGTAATTTCTCTAAAATTCTCCAAATTATATCGTACAATTTACGAACCTAGTTCGAGCCCTGCAATTTATAAAATACAAATAGAAACGAGAAAAAAATGAATAAATGATGATTCTTTTTATTGAATTTTGTAGAAATCTCTGATTGACATGTACAGTGATGTGCTTGATGAACTTAGCGAGTACGATAGCGCATATTCGACAGCTGATCATTTACCTCGAGTTGTTGTAGTTGGAGATCAATCGTCGGGAAAAACTTCTGTTCTCGAAATGATTGCACAGGCGAGAATTTTTCCCAGGTAATAGTTATACGATTTATTAATTTTCATTTTGTTTATTAGGTAATTTCGTTTAATTTGAAAACAAGTAAAATTAAAATCAATTAATTTCACGATTTATTAATTTTTATTTTCTTTATTAATTTAGTTAAAATTGAAAGGAAATAAAGTTAAAATCAATCAAACCACTTAATTTTTTCATGATTTAATGATTTTTATTTTGTTTCTTAATTCAATTAAAAGAGAAAGTAAATAAAATTAAAATCAATGAAATCAAGGAATTTTTTCATGACTTATTAATTTTTAGTTTGTTTATAAATGTAGTAAAAATTGAAAGCAAATAAAGTTAAAATAAATAATTTAATTAATTAAATATATTTATTTTTTTAAATATATATTTTTTTCTTTAATAGTCTAATTAAAATTAAAATTTCCGTTCCGCAGAGGTGGCGGAGAAATGATGACAAGATCACCTGTAAAAGTAACTTTGAGCGAAGGACCTTATCATATTGCACAGTTCAAAGACAGTTCTCGAGAATTTGATTTATCAAAGGAATCGGAATTGGCTGACTTAAGAAGAGAAGTGGAACTTCGCATGAAAAATAGTGTTAAAAATGGAAAGACTGTCAGTCAGGATGTTATTGCGATGACAGTGAAAGGTCCCGGTCTCCCTCGTATGGTCCTCGTTGATTTGCCTGGAATTATTAGCGTAAGAAAAATTCCAATTTTAATCTAATTAAATTTAACTTTTTTTCTTGTTTCTTTTAACAAGACTTATTCTTTACTATTTTTATATTTTAATTTTTATAATTGATAGATTGATAAAATGAAAAGGAATAGATTTTAAATTTGAATTGAATTTGAATTGAATTTGAATTGTTTCTAGACGGTGACAGTCGATATGGCGGAAGATACTCGAGATGCGATTCGTCACATGACTCAACAATATATGAGTAATCCGAATGCAATTATTCTTTGTATTCAGGATGGTTCTGTGGATGCTGAGAGGAGTAATGTCACTGATTTAGTAGCTCAAATGGACCCTTCTGGCAAGAGAACTATTTTTGTTTTGACAAAAGTGAGATTTTCTTTCAAAATTATCTTTTTTTCGTTTCATAAATCTTCTTCTTCTTCTATCTATATTAATAATAATCGTTTTATTTCGGTAATCTGTTCGCAGTTTGAAGTTAGTTGCTGTTTGCTTTTGTTTCCAAACTTTTTTTTAAAAATGTTTCATTTTTAATATTTTTAATTTTAAAATTAATGTATTTAATTTTATTAATTTTATTTTATTTATTTATTTAATTAAAATCATTGAATTCTTGCAAAGAATCTTATTAAAAAATTTGAAAAGAATAATTGAATCCCTTCGAAGAATTTTTTTATTTATGAAAAAATAATTGAATTTTCGCGAAGAATTTTATTAAAATTTTTAAAAATCCTAATTAAATGCTTTTGAAGAATTTCTATAAATCTTTTTTAAATAATGGAGTTTCTTTAATAATTTTAATTGAAAATGTTGGAAGCAATTGAATTTTATTAAATTTCAGGTTTCGCACTCATCTACTAAAACCTACTATTTACTACTTTTTTTACGTTACGCTACTATTTAACTACTTTTTTCAGATTTAAGCCACTAAAAGCTACTTTTTCTGTTTTTTTTGAAAATTTACACTACTTTAAATTCGCTAATACTAGAAATGAAAAAACTATTCTAAAAAATTATAATCAAATTCTTTAAAACGATTCGATTATTTTAAAAAATATTCAAAATTCAATTATTTTTAATATCTAGTGTTTTCATAAAATTTCGCAAAAGAATTCAATTATTTAAAAACAAATTGATAAAATTCATCCAAAATTCAATTATTTTCATAAATAATAAAATTTCAACAGGAATTCAATTAATTTAAAATGGAAATTTCAAAAAAATTTCGAAAAAATCAATTATTTAACAAAATTTGTATACAATTTTTCACAATAATTTAATTACTTTAACTAATAATAACATTTTTCATGGAAATTCTAATTTTTTAAAAAAATATTTCATAAAATTCGTAGCAAGAATTCAATTATTTTCATAAAGAATAAAACTCATTAATAAATTTCAATTATTTTTAAATCCTACTATTTTAAATTAATTAATCGAAAAATTCAATATTATTTTCACAAATAAAATTTTCCACAAGAATTCAATTATTTAAAATAAAATTTTCATAATATTTATTAAATTTCGAAAAAATTAATTAATTAAAACAATGTTTATAAAATTCATATGAAGAATTGAATTATTTTCAAAAATAACGCAATTTTTCAACAAAACTTTAATTTTTTTTAAACATTTTAATGAAATTTTTGGTCAATAATTCAATTATTTTCATAAATAATAAAATTATTCTCAGGAATTCAGTTATTTAAAAAAAATGTTTTTTTTAAATTCTTTGGAAGAATTCAATTATTTTCATAAACAATAGAAATCAACACAGGATTTCAATTATTTTTAATACAATTTTACAGGAATTGCTCAAAAAATGATATTATTCTTTTAAAAATCAAATTTCAATTCCCCGGAATAATCAATTATTTAAAAAAATGTTTTTTTTTAAATTCTTTGGAAGAATTCAATTATTTACTAAAAATATTAGGATTTTTCACAGGAATTCAATTATTTTCAAATATTTTAATAAAATTGTTCGAGGGAAATCAATTATTTTAAATACAATTTTAATTAAGTTTTAATAAAATCCTTTCCAAAAATTCAATTATTTACATAAATAATTATGTTAAAGAATTCAATTATGTCGATAAATAACAAAATTATTCCCGAAAATTCAATTATTTTGAGACATTCTAATAAAATGCTTTGCAGAATTAAATTATTTTTAAAAGTAATAATTTTTTTCTCGGAAATTCAATTATTTTAAAAAATTCTAATACAATCGTTCGCAAGAATTCAATTATTTTCATAAATAATAAAAATAATGCATAAATAATAAGAAAAATTTAATAAAATGACACACAGACATTCTATTATTTTCAAAACTTTTAATAGAATTCTTTGAAAAATTTATTTATTTTTAATAAAAATATGTCGAAATAAATCAATTATTTTAAAATTTTTATAAAATTCTTCTTAAGAATTAAATTATTTTTATAAATATTTAAATTCTTTCATTAATAGTAAAATTCGTTATAGGAATTCAATTTATTACAAGGATAATAAAGAAGTAAATATTTTTAATAAAAATTAGGAAAAAGTCAGGAAAATAAAATATTGAATGGAATTCTTGGCAGTTATGTGAAGTGTCTAAAAACGACTTTTTTGGTCGTCAAATTTAATTTTTCGATAGCTACTTTTTTACTACTTTATTTTTAGTTTGAAAGCTACTTTTTGCTACTTTTTAAAAATTAATTATCGAGTGCGACATCTGAAATTTATATTGAAAATAATTGACTTACTGAGAAGAGTTTTATTATTTATAAAAATAATTTAATTCTTGAGAAGAATTTTACTATTTATAAAAATAATTAAATTGTTCCAAAGAATTTATTAAAATTTTAGGAAATAATTGTATTATTTTGAAGAATTTTATAGAAATATTTGAAAATAATTAAATTCTTTCGGGAAATTCAATTACAGTTGTTTCGAAAATAATTGAATTTTTTAAAGAATTTTATTAAAATTAAGTATCTATATTCAAAATAATTGAATTCTTCAGAAGAATTTTATTATTTTTAGAAAATAATTGAATTTATTTTAAATATGTATTAAAATTTTTTTAAAAATTGAATTCTTTCGAGGAATTCAATTAAAATTGTTTTGAAAATAATTGAATTCCTGCAGTTTTACTATTTATAAAAATAATTGAATTCTTGCGAAGGATTTATTAAAATTTTAGAAAATAATTGAATTCCTTTGTAACATTTTATAACGAATTAAGAAAATAAAATTAAATTCTTTCGCAAAATTTTATTGAAAATAATTGAATTATTTAAAATTTTAGAAAATACAAACAATAATAATTAATTTTGTACTTTAATAAGTAAATTTTTTGAATTTTGATTATGAAATTATTCAAAAATTTATATTTGAAATTAAAGAATTTTCATAATAATAATACATTGAATATCACGTACCGCGCGTAAAATTTGCTAGTTTTTAATATTTTATTACACTTTTATTCTTAATAGAATATTAAAAGAATATTTTTTTAAATAGGTGGATATGGCAGAGGAGAATTTAGCGAATCCTGATCGTCTAAGGAAAATTCTCTCGGGGAAATTGTTCCCTATGAAAGCGTTGGGTTACTTTGCTGTTGTCACTGGGCGAGGACGACAGGAAGACAGTATTCAGACAATAAAAGATTATGAAGAAAATTTCTTTAGAAATTCAAAGTTATTTAAGTGCGTAAATATCTAAATATTCTGAATGAATTATTATTATTTTTTTTATTTACTTATGTACAATTTTCATTACAAATTTGTAATTATTTTTTTCATATTGTTTCGCAGAGATGGTTTAGCAATGTCTAGTCAAGTAACGACGAGGAACTTGAGTATGGCCGTGTCTGAGTGTTTTTGGAAAATGGTTCGTGAAACAGTCGAGCAACAAGCGGACGCTTTTAAAGCCACAAGATTTAATCTTGAAACTGAGTGGAAAAATAATTTTCCAAGGTACTGAGTAACTTTTATAAGTATTTTCAAAATTATTCTAAATTTAAATAAATAGTTTTTAGTAATATTTTTAAAATTTATTTTAAATTTAAATAGTTTTAAGAAATATTTTTCAAAATAAAGTTTGAATTTAATTTGTATTAATATGATTTTTTTTCATACTTGAAATTTGTTTCAGGCTACGTGAGCTTGATCGTGATGAACTTTTTGAGAAGGCGAGAGGAGAAATCTTAGACGAAATTGTTAATTTGTCCCAAGTTTCGCCAAGACATTGGGAAGAAGTATTGATGGCGAGAATTTGGAGTAAAGTCAGCATGCACGTTTTTGAAAATATTTACTTACCCGCTGCCCAAAGTGGAACTCCAAGTAAGTTGTAAATTTGATTTTGATTTCAATTCCGGAAAGAAAATATGAATAAAATCAAAATATTTTGAAAATAATTTTATTTTCTTTTAATATTTACATTTAATTGGATAATAATTATTTTATTTAATAATTGGATAATGATTATTTCATTTAACAAGTGTTTAATAATTATTTCATTTAATTATTGGATAATGATTATTTCATTTTACAAGTGTTTAAATAATTATTTAATTTTCAGGTACATTTAATACAACGGTGGATATAAAATTAAAACACTGGGCGGAACAACAATTACCAGCCAAAAGTGTCGAAGGTGGCTGGGAATGTTTAAAACAGGAATTCGAAAAATTCATGTCACAAGCGCGTTTGAATACTGATCACGACGATATTTTCGATAGTTTGAAGAACGCAGTTGTTGACGAAGCAATGACCAGACACACGTGGGAGGATAAAGTAATATTTCTCAAAATTAATTTGTTAACAAAATTTTCTTGTTAAAATAAATAAATAAGAAATAAAATGCAGAAAATCAAAAGAAAAAAAAAGAATTAATTCTTTTTTTTCCTTTTGATTTTCTGCATTTTATTTTTGATTTATATTTTATTATTATTAATATTTTATTTATATATTTATTATTAATAGTTATAGTTATAGTTATAGTTATAGTTATAGTTATAGTTATTTAATTTTTTTTTGTTTATATATTTTGTTATTAGTAATAAAATTTTATTTTTTTCCATTAGGCGTCGGATATGTTGCGAGTAATTCAATTGAATACTCTAGAAGATCGGAATGTCAGCGATAAACGAGACTGGGATCAAGCAGTTCGATTTTTGGAAAATTCAGTGAAGGAGAAATTGCAGAATACGGAGCAAATATTGCAGGAAATGTTGGGTCCAAATCGAAAGCAACGTTGGCTTTATTGGGAATATCAAAGTGAGGAGCAACAAAGAAGAACGTCGGTGAAGAATGAACTCGATAAAATTCTCTACTCCGACAAGGTATAATTAAAATCAATTTTAAAAATGTTTTATTTCTGTCAACAAATTAGAGGCAATAGTAAAATAAAAAAGTATATAAAATAAATAAAATAGAAAAATAAGTAAAATAAAATTATTAAAGTTATTAATTGAAATTTTGTTTTTTACAGAAACATGCGCCAACTCTGACACAAGATGAATTGACAGCAGTTAGAAAGAATATACAGCGAAACGGTTTGGAAGTTGATAATGAATTTATTCGCGAAACATGGCATCCGGTTTATAGAAGATTCTTTCTACAACAAAGTTTATCGAGGGCCTACGATTGTAGGAAAGGATATTATCTTTATCACACTGGACACGATCAAGAGGTAGAGATTTTATTTTTCTCCAAAAAGTTCTACTTTTTAAGGCTTCACAGTCTGTTCCCTATTTCCCTAAAAGTCCCCTTTTTTTAATTTTGGCCCCTAAACGTACCCTATTTTGAAAATTTCTCCTATTCTTTTCGTCGCAGGAAATCAATTATTTTCAATAATTTTTAAGTAATTCTGCAAAAGAATTCAATTATCTTGATAACCAACAAAATTCTCCCCATAAAATCAATTATTTTAAGGATTTATAATGAAAATCTTTTCCAAAATTCAATTATTTTGATAAATATCAAAATTCTTCTCAACAATTCAATTATTGTCAAAATTTTTAATTAAATTCTTGGCAAAATTTCAATTATTTAAACAAAAATTTAATAAAATACTTTGCTCGAATTCAATTATTTTTATAAATTCTCGTCAAGAATTCAATTATTTTTATAAATAACAAAATGTTTCGCCAAAAATTCAATTATTTTCAAAAATTTAAATAAAATTCTTTGCAAAATTTTAATTATTTTCAAAAGTTTTTCGCTATTCAATGTTTTTAAATATTTACTATTTTCATAAAATTTATCAACAGATTTAATTATAGAAAAAACTTATTGATAAAATTCTACGAAAAGATTCAATTATTTTCATAAATAATAAAATTTCATTTATGAATTCAATTATTTTTATCGCAGAATTTCAAATATTTTTAATACAATTTTTAATTAATTCCTTGAAAAATGCAATTATTATTAAAAATTTTATTAAAACTTGAGGAAAGAATTCAATTTTAAGAAACATTTAATTATTCAATAAAACAATAAAATTCGTTGCAATAATTCAAATATTTTTTTAAAAACATTTAATTCGTCACAGAAAATCAATTATTTTCAAAAATCTTTAAGTAATTTTGCAAAAGAATTCAATTAGCTTGATAAACAACAAAATCGCATAAATTCTTCCCATAAAATCAATTATTCTAAGGAATTTTAATAAAATTCTTTTCCAACATTCAATTATTTTGATAAATATCAAAATTCATCAAGAAGAATTCATCATGAATTCAATTCTTTTAAAAAGTAATAAAATACTTTGCAGAATTTAAATTATTTTCAAAATTTTTTTTTAAATTTTTCTCAAGAATTAAATTATTTTTATAAATAAATAGGGAATTTCTTCTCAAGAATTAAATTATTTTTAAAAATTTTAATAAAATTCTTCTCAAGAATTCAATTATTTTTTTAAAAAATTAATAAAATTCTTCAAAAAGTTTTCAATTATTTTCAAAAATTGTTATAAAATTCTTTAATATAATAAATTTCATTAAAATTTTAATTAAATTCCTTATAAAGAAATGAAATATTTTCAAAAGTTGTTACAATTCTTCGTTAAAATTAAATTTTAAGAAACATTCAAGATTATTTATTTTTGTATTTAAATAATTGATTTCTCGTAGAATTAAATTATTGTTTTTTGTACTTTTAACTAACAGTTCTGTAAAATTAATTTTTTTGAAAAAGTTTAATTGAATAATAATTGATGTTATTGATTTAAAGTAGAATTTTAGTTAAAAATTCTAGAAAATGTTAATTGAATTGAAATGAATAATTTTGAAGAAATTACATTAACAATATTCTTATAATAATAAACTAATGATTTTGTCAGTCGGTCATCTTTATGTTTTATAATAATATTCTTATGACGTTGTTCAATTTGAAAAGATTTGAATTTGAAATTTTTGAAAATCTTAATTCCAATGAAAAAAAAATGATTAAATATTTATTTTAAATAAAACTATATTGATGTTTTCGAATAATTTTACTTTTGAAGAAATTTGTAAATAAATTTAATATAACATTTTTTTGAGTATCTAATAATTTTTAGAGTGAATCAGAATATTCTTTAGGGTCAGGGAGAAAGTCAAAATTGTGTTTGGAAATCAGGGAAAAGTAAGGGAAAAATAAAGTTAAAGTTTTGTGGCAACCCAGTATAAATAAATTATATTTTTATCTTTATTTAACCAATTTTTATGGTCCCCTATTTTTTATTTTATTTTTTAATTTTCAATCCCCTATTTCCCCTAAAATACTTTTTAGTGTCACTGTGAAGCTTGACTTTTTAATTTTTCTTTTATTTAAAATAATTTTTCAGTTTTTTTTTAAAAAAGTGATCTCCTTTCTTTTTGGAATTAAAATAAAAAAAAAATTTCCAATTTCATTTCAGATGGAATGCAACGATGTGGTTCTTTTCTGGCGAATACAGCAAGTGCTGAAAGTGACAGCAAACGCAGTAAGACAGCAGATTATGAATAGAGAGGCGCGAAGACTTGATAAAGAGATTAAAGAAGTGCTAGAAGATTATAGTCAGGACAATGAAATAAAACAGAAACTCTTAACCGGACGAAGAGTAACGCTTGCCGAAGAACTCAGTAATTATTACATTTTTCACATTTAATATCTCTTTGTTTGAACGAAATCTTGTTTTAATTTCAATTCATTTATTTATTTTATAAAAATATAGTTATCAATTAAAAATATTAAATATTCAGTAAACTGTAACGTACTTTTTTCAGTAATCAATATAGATCGATTGGAAAAAATTTCGTTCTGTAAAACATTTAAACTATAAATTTCTATTTTTTATTTACTTCTAATTTAATTTCCAATTATTTTTACAATTTAATTTAATTTAAAAAAATCTACAAGAATAATCAAACTCTTTTCAGAACGAGTGAGGCAAATTCAAGAGAAATTAGAAGAATTTATACAAGCTCTCAATAAAGAGAAATGAATGGAGATGGATAAAAGTCGATCAGGCCAAAGTCGTAAATGAAAGAAAAATAATAACAACAGCAACAAACGCGTGGTTAACCCCAAAGATGAACTGTTAACTCGCGAGTGTGTGAATTAATTAATTTCATTAATTGCAACTGTGCGAGGTTCACTCCACAACATCAATTTTGGACTAGTGATTTATTTCAAGTACAAAATATCACAATTTCATTATCGACCGAATACCACGAAGCAAGTTTTTCAAAATATTCATAAACACAATTTTTCTTTTTTACAATAAAAATTTTCAACAAGGATTGAACTAAAAAATTTATATTGATTTTTTATATTTTACAATTCTTTTTTATCATTATTTTAAAAAATCTGAATATACATAATTAATGAATTAAAGTATTTATTAATAATAATTTTTTTCTATTTTAAGTTCAGTCTATTTGTGAATTAAACAAAAATTAATTTTTCCCATGCGAAAGAAGTGATTAAACATTAAAATTGTGCTTTTATGAATATTATGTAAACTTTTATTTCTTTTACATACATTAAGATCAACATCGAATTTTTATTGTTTCGCGAAAATTTATTTTCTTTATTTATTATTTTACATTAAGAGGGAAAAAATTCAGATTTATCACTGACTGAAGAAGAGAAAAACAGAGGTAGAGAAATTTTTGTAATATAGAAAGTGAAATGATTGTAAAATCGATTGATTCTAGTGAATGTAAATTGAAAAATTCATTTTTGAGGGGAAAAAAATGGAAAAATTGTCATCATGTAAGTGGGTGTATGAAATGTGACATTCGTTGCTTGTGACAATGAGTGTTTTGTTTCGTGATCGTATTCCAATGCTAGTGAAACACGCGATGTATATACACTGTTATAATCCCTATGTGATTAAAGTCTTTTAACTTTAATTTTTGAAAATATTTTCTTAAAAAAAAAAATAGAAGGCGACTAAAAATTTTCTCTAAAAAAAAAGAGTAAATTAAAAACTCAAATTTTTTCAAAATAAAATTTTTTTTTTCTTTCTGATGTTCAAAAATGAAGTTTAAAAAAAATTCCCTAAAAAAGAAGTTTAAAATCACCTTCACGGTGATAAAGAAATTTTTTAATTTATAATTATTTTTGGATTTTCTATTATTTTTTGCTAAATTTTTCTACTAAAATTATACATAATGATTTTTAGTTATAGTTTAGTTAACTTTAAAGTAGGGCAAATAATTAAAGAAATAGAAAACTTGGCAAAAATTGAAGAAAGTTTGGTGTTTAGGGAGATTAATTTCACATCTCTTATTTAAATGAATGGTAAGATATTTTTTTATCATAATTTACTAAAGTTCAAACTTTATTATTGTTATTTTTAACTGTTTTTAATTTGTTTTATTATTTTTTCAGTTAATTATTATTTTTGCCTTTAGTTTCAATAATTAAAATTTTTAATTTTCTTAAAATTAGTTATATTATTATTATAAATATTTGGTAATAACTTTAAGTTTTTAATTAAAATTTTTATTTATTTTCTTTCGTTTATTTTAGTTCCATTGGTTTCGATTTTCAACAGCGAGCGAAGTTCGATGGAGATGGATTCTAAAATTTGATAGTCGCTTTTTCAAAGAAGAGAATCATTCTAAAGAAGAATGAAGAAGATCGAAGAGGGCTACAAATCGTCGTGAAAAAGTAACTGATGCTTTAATCTATATTGACTTCAAAGAGAGGATGACCAAGTGTTTTCGTTTATTCTCCTCTCAATCATCGAACCAACGTTCACTTCACATTAGGTTCAAACTTCTTTTACTTTTAATTTCTTATTTTTCTTTACATTCAATACTTTTCGTCGAAAACTCTTTTCTAAATTCTCCATTTTAATTTCTTAAAAGTCTATTTTAAATTCTCAATTTTTATTTTAAAAATTCTTTTTAAATTCTCAATTTCATTTTTTAAAATTCTTTTTAAGTTCTCGATTTTAATTTTTTTCAAATCTTTTTTAAAATCTCTATTACATTTTTAAATTATTCTTATATTCTCAATCTTAATTTATAAAAGATCTTTTTAAATTCTCGATTTCTATATTTTCTAAAATCTTTTTCAAATTCTCAATATAATTTTTAAATTATTCTTAAATTCTCAATTTTAATTAATATATAACATTCTTTTTAAATACATGATTTTTATTTTTTTTAATCTTTTTTAAATAGTCAATTTTTATTTTTTTTAAATTCTCAATCTTAATTTATAAAAGATCTTTTTTAAATTCTCAATTTTTATTTTTTAAAATTCTTTTTAAGTTCTTGATTTTTATTTTTTCTAAAATCTTCTTTAAATTCTCAATTTTAATATATAAAATTCTTTTTAAATCCTCGATTTTTATCTTTTCTAAAATCATTTTTAAATTCACAATTTTTATTTTTTAAAAATTATTCTTAAATTCTCAATTTTAATATATAAAATTCTTTTTAAATTCTGGACTTTTATTTTTTCTAAAATCTTTTTTAAATTATCAATTTTTATTTTTTTATAATTCTTTTTAAATTCTTTATTTTTATTTTTTCTAGAATCTTTTTTAAATTCTCAATTTAATTTTTAAATTATTCTTAAATTCTCAATCTTTAATTTATAAAAGACCTTTTTTAAATTCTCGATTTTTGTTATTTTAAAATTCCTATTAAATTCTGGATTTTTATTTTTTCTAAAATCATTTTTAAATTCTCCATTTTAATATATAAAATTCTTTTTAAATTCTCGATTTCTATTTTTTTAAAATCTTTTTTAAATTCTCAATTTATATTTTTTTTAAATTCTTTTTAAGTTCTCGATTTTTATTTTTTCTAAAATCTTTTTTAAATTCTCAATTTTAATATATAAAATTCTTTTTAAATTCTGGTTTTTTATTTTTTCTAAAATCTTTTTTAAATTATCAATTTTTATTTTTTTATAATTCTTTTTAAATTCTCGATTTTTATTTTTTCTAGAATCTTTTTTAAATTCTCAATTTAATTTCTAAATTATTCTTAAATTCTTAATCTTTAATTTATAAAGGACCTTTTTTAAATTCTCGATTTTTGTTATTTTAAAATTCCTATTAAATTCTGGATTTTTATTTTTTCTAAAATCATTTTTAAATTCTCAATTTATTTTTTAAATCATTTTTAAATTCTCCATTTTAATATATAAAATTCTTTTTAAGTTCTCGATTTTTATTTTTTCTAAAATCTTTTTTAAATTCTCAATTTTATAATATATAAAATTCTTTTCAAATCCTCAATTTTTATTATTTCTAAAATCTTTTTTAAATTTTTATTTTTTTAAAATTCTTTTTAAGTTCTCAATTTTAATATATAAAATTCTTTTTAAATTCTGGATTTTAATTTTTTCTAAAATCTTTGTTAAATTGTCAATTTTTATTTTTTTACAATTCTTTTTAAATTCTCGATTTTTATTTTTTTTTAAATCTTTTTAAAATTCTCAATTTAATATTTAAATTATTCTTAAATTCTCAATCTTTAATTTATAAAAAATCTGTTTTAAATTATCGATTTTAATTTTTTTAAAATTCTTTTTAAGTTCTCGATTTTTATTTTTTTTAAATTCTCAATTTTAATATATAAAATTCTTTTTAAATTCTCGATTTTTTTTCTAAAATCTTTTTTAAATTCTCAATTTTTATTTTTTTAAAATTCTTTTTAAGTTCTCGATTTTTATTTTTTCTAAAACCTTTTTTAAATTCTTAATTTAATTTTTAAATTATTCTTAATTCCTCTATCTTAATTTATAAAAGATCTTTTTTAAATTTTCTCAATTTTTGTTTTTTTATTATTCCTATTAAATTCTGGATTTTAATTTTTTAAAACATCTTTTTTATTGTCATTTTATTTTTAAAAACATTTTAAAATCCTCGATTTTTATTTTTTCTAAAATCTATTTTAAATTCTCAATTATCTTTTCAAATAGCTATTAAATTCTCGATTTTGATTTTTCTAAAATCTTTTTTAAATTTTCAATTTCTTTTTAAATCGCTATTAAATTCTCGATTTTTATTTTTTCTAAAATCTTTTTCAAATTCTCAATTTCTTTTTAAATCGCTATAAAATTTTCGTTTTTTTTTTAAGTTTTTAAATTCCAAATTTATTTTCTAAAATCATTTTAAAATTCTCAATTTATTTTTTAAATCGCTATTAAATTCTCGATTTTTATTTTTTCTAAAATTTTTTTAAATCGCTATTAAATTTTCGATTTTTATTTTTTCTAAAATCTTTTTTAAATTCTCAATTTCTTTTTAAATCGCTATTAAATTCTTGATTTTAATTTTTTCTAAAGTCTTTTTTAAATTCTTAATTTCTTTTTAAATCTCTATTAAATTTTGAATTTCTTTTCTGAATTCCTTCAATATTGCAATTAAAGAAAAATTGAAAATAGTTCAAAATGGAATTAAACTTTTTTTGTAGACTTGAAGTAATTTAAAATTTGATTTCTAAATTAAAATTTTTGTTAATTATTTGTGTTATTTTTGTGGTCTAGATGAGATGAAGTAATACTGCGGAGTACTTGAGTTTTTCTTGGAGAATGTGTGCTTGCCAAAAGTACAAGGGAAGAAGAAAAGAAGAAGAAGAAGTTGAGGAGGTGGATATGAAGGAAGAGGATGAAAATGTGAATGAAGTAAAAGGAGTGCTCGTTAGAAATTTTGGCCAGCGAAGAGTCGCGTCGAGGTAGATTTAGGAGAATGATGAATATCGTCCGTTTTTCGTGTGCTACAACAGCTAGAGCTTTGGATCAAGAGTGCCAGAACCATCGGGTGGCACACGGAGCTTTCTTCTTTATTCCCTGCGTTAGCGGGAGCTTTTCGCTGATCCTAGAAGTACGAAGAGCTCAAAATCGTCCGGAGGTGGAGTCAACACCCTGGTTCAGAGAGCTCTTTCTCTTTTTCGCACTCTCACTCCTCCCATTCTTGCTCTCTCGCTCTTTTTCTCTCCCTCAAACCTATATCTCTCTCTATATAACATTCGAGCTTTTCTCTCTATTGCCATCGCATTTTCTCTTCGCTTGCCAAC